ACACACACACACACACACACACACACACACAAAGCTGAAAGCCCTGAGGCTACTGAGAGTACAAGGCGTGCCATCATAGATCTCGCTGGAAGAATGAAAGACAAAGGGGACACAGAAAAGAAAGAACCAATAGAAACAGAGAGGAGTGAGCAAGAAGAAAGTCTGGGAAAGAAGGTTGGCAACAAAGAGAAAAGGGTAATGATAATAACAGAGATAATATTAGAACTGCAGAGCTGAAAGGGACCATATGGATAATCAAGTCCAGCCCTTCTCAAGGATCCACTGTTGAGAATAAAATTTCCAACCTCTGGCTCTACAGTGAGATACCTAAGCTACTGAGCTGTCTAATAGCTCAAAAGGAGGGAAGAATGATAGTGGACGTGGCAGACCAGGAGGAGTGATTGATGAGGAGCTAGTAAGGAGGCTGAGAAGCGCTGGACTGGAAAGGTAGCTAGAAAGAAATCCCATTGGGAAGAAAGGGAATTACAAGAGAAGAGACCTTAAAGCAGGAAAGAGAGAGAGAAGTGTTGAAAGCTTGAAAGTATAAAGAGTGCCTGGCATTAGAGGAAAGGAGAAAAAAACAGATTCAAGTGAGAGGAAAGGGAAACAAATGGGAACCGAATAAGGAAGAAATTATGGAGGAGAATTGGGCTCACCACCCTTATTGTGACAGCCTATGCCTTACCAAATGACCACCCCTGAGAACCTTGACCAACGAGGAGAGATTTGGTGGAACCCCATGTTAAGAATAGAGGGAGCTATATGGTTATGAAGAAGAGTCTGATGAGTTAAACCAAGTGCTGAATTATGAATTTCCAGTTGAAGGGGTGGAGAAACCACCTTGTTAACAAATAAAATTTTTATTGTTGTACTAAATGTCTCCGGCTTTTCGATCTGAGACCAAAGAATTCCCTGGGAGTAAAAAAGGAACCTGCTTACAACAATGAATTACAGGTCTGATTGAATTTCTCTTTTAATGAAGACAGCTTCATCAATTAAGACTAGAAATATTTTGTATTTCCCCGTTGGAGAATGGCTTTGGTGTTGTGGGACATGTTGAGCTCAAAAAGTACTCTTCTCATTCTGGATAAAGCTGTGAACTATGAAGGAGATGTGTACTTAGTATTAAGTACCTGGAAACAGTGATTGTAGGGCTGAATTATGCAAAAAGTTGCTTTTAACTTATCAGATATCTTAAGATTTGGTGGTCACAATGGAAATGGAGAGAGCAAGTAAATTAATTTGAGATAAGATGTGTGGTAGGGTGCTTTTTAGACCTAAAAATCATTTAGACTAGGGATGGCGAACCTATGGCACGCATGCCACAGCTGGCACGCAGAACCCTTTCTGCAGGCACAAAAGCCATAAATCTCCAGCTTGCTACTCCCCCCCCAAGCCAAACCTTAGGAGGAGGCTGCAGCTGCGGTGCTGGCACTTCGACAGGCAGTGGGCCAGGATCTAGAGCAGCTGGCGCTGGCGACAGATCCGGAGTGGGGTCTCGAGGCTACCTCTGTGCTCGGGATTCCCCTGTCCGCCGCCACTTCCTGTTCTGCTGCACGCCACATGCTGAGTTTTTTCCCTTTCTTTTGTTTGTTTTTTGTTTTTCCCCCAGTTTGGGCACTCGGGCCCAAAAAGGTTCACCACCACTGGTTTAGACCATTGAGGATATTGATTTATCAAAATGAACTACATATAACAGAGCTACCTTCAAAATCATTCCAAGGTGAATCTTTCATTTGGTTTCATTCTGAAACAAGAATGTCATTGGCTTATTTGTTGACAAATCAACTCCTGTATCCTTGCAGACACTTAGGGGTGTTGTCTGTTACATGGCATACTTATTTCTACACAGAAGTGTTTGGGAGGATTTTATTAGAAATCTGACAATGTTGCCCGTTTTTAGTGAGTTTTGTCATCATCTGCTACAGACTGCAGATGCTTATATGACTCAATGAAATAGTAGATCTTGGCAGTTACTGCTCAGAAAACCAATACCAAATATTTGATCTGTTTATGTTTCTTGCTGTGGAGATCATATGTTTTTAAACTAATTATTTTTAAATCATTTGTTTGTGTCCTAGAAACAATATTTAAAAATACCCACAAGAAGATTTTATACAAAGAAAGGAGAAGAATATGGGGTATGGGTAATCTGAAAGAACAGACAAGTCATTGAGAAGAAAGATAAAGAGGCAAAGCAATAGGGATCTTTGACAGTAGGGATGAAAAAAACTTGTACTGGATCTATTTTCCCAACCAGCTCTATCTCTTTCAGCATCTGTTCCCTCTCTCTCTGACTAACCAGCCTTATCTCTATCTGCATCTCATCCCAATCTCTATCTGACTCCTTCTCCTGCCAAGCCTCATGTAACTGCTGACTCCACCTCTCCAGTCCTCTCATAGATTCATGCAAACCAGCTCATGAATATGAATGGCATGAGTGATGTGGGTGATCGCCACATTGATCTTGACCTTATATACTGTGATCCACAAACAATGAAGCCCCCCCCATGCTCCTTTCATAAAGATGGCAATGCCCACTGGCTGCAGAAATGCATCTTGGATTTGAATTTTACATGACATAAATGTACTGTTCTCTAATTCAACAGATTGTCTTGCTTACAAATATTCATACCATACAGTTTCAGGTATTCTGAATGAGTAAAACCTAGTATTAAAAACCATTTCACACTCCCAAAGATAAAATATTCCATCACATAGTTTCTGAATTCCCCAGAGTTGTTTTGGGAAAAATCTGTTTTTCTCTGAAGTTTTGAGGTTTTCCCTGGGCTTTTACAAGCATAGTAATGCTCGTGGTTTTTTTTCCCTTTTAGGTACAATTTTCTGTGACTTAAAACAATGTGATATTTTACTTGAAAAATAAAATCTTACATTATTTTTATTGATTCATGAGTAACAGTCAAGCATTTAAAGAATAAAAATAAATAGTGATTCATTAAGTGCAGTTCTTCTCTCCCATTACTGTATATTTTTGCTGAAATTGTTTTTATATATCTGATTTTCCCAAATGGCCTCTTCTCTTTTCTTGCACTGTGATCTTTATAATGAGTGGTGATTACTATTAATAAATAGCAGGATAACATATGTTATATTTAAATGTAGGAAATTTCACACTGAAATAAATCTGTTAGTATTTTCTTTTTGTTTTGTTTTGGTTATGCATTTAATATTTTAATAGCTTAAACTTCTTTGAGCCACACAAAATCACAATAACTCTATTTTTTCTTTTTCTTTTCTGTTCTAATTGTTTCTAGAAATTAAGAAGCCACCAGTGGCCCCAAAACCAACATTTGTGGTAGGGCACAAAACAGTGCCACCTCCTGTAGCACCAAAGCCAGATATTCTTCTTGCTGATGTTTTACAAACTGTGAAGAAAACAAAGCCAGCGATAGCACCGAAACCAAAGATTCTCAAGTGCTCATCTGTTCCTGAAGTTAACACTATACAACCATCTTTAAGAAAAAATTCAAGGAGTTTAGAAGACCCAAAAAAAGATTCTTCTGAGTTCTTGCTTCAATTGAATTACAAAAATGGAACACCAAGAGACAATGCTGCTTATATTATATCAGTTTGTTCTTGCAAATTTGAATGTGTTCATAAATTTGGGAATGGGGAGAACTTGTACAAAAATCCAACCATTTTTGAACAGTTGGAAAACCTAGAGAACATCGGTACAGATGAACAATCAGCATCCTCATCTCTGAAAACTAGGACTGAGTCTGATATTCATAATAGGAAAAAAATGAATAAAAATAGGGCAGTCTTAAATACTAATTTACTAGAGGAAAAATTCAAAGGTGTTTTGACACAAAGTATTTTCCCCAATAGTAGCCATTTGAAGCAGAAACCTTTGAATAAACTTGAAATGGGTAATTTTAATAGTTTTAATGATTATGTAAATGTAGAATTAACAGATTTTGTTCCAGTGGCTTCCAGTCCTGAGGAAGTTATGGACTGTCCAAACAACCATATAAAAATAGCTTGTGTTGAATCTGAGAGAGCAGAAATACCTCCTTTGACTGAAAATATCAGTAGTTGCTCCTGTTCTCTTGACACAGCTCTGGAGAAAACAGATAATATTGAATCACACATGAGCACCTCTACAAAAGGGGGAAATGAATCATTCCCTTCATCTGGAACAGACTCTGCAACTTCATCTAAATCTCTTCCAGTTCCTAAGCCAAGAAAACTGCGTGCTTCAGGTCTAGTCCGCCAAGATGGCATAGATATCCCAGGGGAAAGAATAAAAGAAACATTTGCTTCAGAGTGTGAGACTATGGGGTTTTCTGACTGTGCTGTGGGAAAAACAACAAAAATTAATGTCCTTGTTCAGAGTGTTTCCTACAACAATCAAGAACATACACCTGAAAGCAATAAATCTAAAATTGCTTCATGTGTTGCAGGAAAAATGTATCTGGTTGCTGGATCTTTAGAATCTGATTCCAAAGAAATGACCCCTCAAAACTTCCTGCCTGGAGGCTCGCACCAAGGAAAAAATGTTGAACATTCCTCTGACCTTTATTCAACAAATTCTTCCAATAACCTAGGAGAGAGTAACAGTATGTTGGCAGTTAATGACAAAAATGCCAGCTTTATAAGGAGTAGTAATCTTTCCAAGAGTTTGCCTAAGCAGTTAAAGTTGTCGTGCAGTCAGGATTTGCCTGCTTTTGAGAACCTCCATAATTCTGCGCAAGAAAAGGAAAATAAAAATGATCACTTAAAGAGTGAAAGTTCAACAAAAATAATTCCTAAAAAACCTCAAAGGCAATGCATCCCAGGTACTGGGCTGTTGAAAAAAGCTGCATCTGAGGAATTACTAGAGAGAAGTACTTACCTTTCCAATGAAGAACATTCACAGACTCCTCTGGAGGGACCACGTATACGGCATTTGTCAGCCAAAGAACAAAGTTCATTGCTATCCCAAAATTTACCAAAGTTTTCTTTGGAGAAACGTGCTTGGAAATTACCTCATCCTATTCTTCCATTTCCAGGCAATCCAGAAGCCTTAAAAAACACCAAGAATGCAAAAAACTCTGAATTTAGGAGTCCCTTGACAAAACCTCGGGCCAAATCCTTGTCTTCTGTTGATATGGATAGAATACAAAAGCCCCCAAAAGAGCCTCCAAAGAAGAATTCACTAAAGAAGTTTCTAAACATTAAATTGTCTATTTGCCTGATGAAAAGTGATTTCCAGAAATTTCTGATCAAGAGCAGCCAATCTACAGATAATACCACTGTTGCTTTCTCTCACCAGGAAGAGCTTGGCAAAAATTGTAATGTGACTAACATGATAAACAGAAGAAAGACTAAACCTGCCAAGGCACATTCTGCAGAAGTGGGTAGTCTGTCCTTACAAAAGGGAAAAGAAAAATCTAGAAATCAAGATGATGCGACAAAGAGTCAGAGATCAAAATCTTTAGATGAACAGACTTTCTCATCACAAAGATACTTGAGTTCTCTTACTCATGACTATGTACCAGAATATGAAAATGTGAGCCATTATGAAGAAATCCCAGAGTATGAGAACTTGCCCTTTGCATCTGCTGATAAAAAAACATGTTATGAATCGCACAATTCTAAAATTCTTGAAGACCATGAAGCTAATGTGTATGAAGTAGAAGAGTTATATGAACCTACAAGAATCTGTTCCAAGTTTGGCAGGTAAGATACTGTGGAGAGAAACATATAAGCCAGTGGTGGGCAAAGTACAGTTAAATTGCTTGATCTCTGTTTTTCTGTATATGTCCATTAAAAAAAAGTGTAACATAGAAATGGCCCCTCATGGGTGTGTGCACATTTATGCTTTAGATCCTCTTTAGACCAGGGAGGAGAGGACTTCTTTCAGAACCATGTACATTACAACAGAAAGTTGCACATAATCAAAATGAATGAAAAGCGTGTTTGTCTAACTGAACAGAAGCCTTTTCCTGTGTTATTTTTGGAATCAGCTAGATCAGGAAATACAAATTAGTACTGAAGTGGAGAATTTTTCCTTGCTGTGGAATTTTATGCAATTCTTTAATTTCTAGCTATATAGCTAATCCAAGGGACATGGTGGCACTGTGGGCTAAACCGCAGAAGCCTGTGCTGCAGGGTCAGAAGACCAGCAGTCGTAAGATTGAATCCACGCAACGGAGTGAGCTCCCATCGCTTTGTCCCAGCTCCTCGCCAACCTAGCAGTTAGAACCCATGCAAATGTGAGTAGATAAATAGGTACCACCTTGGTGAGAAGGTAAAATGGCATTCCCTAGTCACGCTGGCCACGTGACAACAGAAACTGTCTTCGGACAAGTGCTGGTTCTATGGCTTGAAAACGGGATGAGCACCGCCCCCTAGAGTCAGACATGACTGGACTAAGAATGTCAAGGGGAACCTTTACAGCTAATCCTATTCCAGGAAAAGGTATATTAGTCATTTTAGATATGGAAAGGACTCGCTCCAGGAGTTGGGGGACAGTGGAAATTTTATTTCAAGAATAAATGTATCTAAATATATACAGTGGTGCCTCGCATAGCGATTGCTCCGTTTAGCGATGAAATCGCTTTGCGATGCATTTTTTGCGATTGCTTTGCGATGTTCCCTATGGGGGAATTTCGCTTTACAATGATCAGTTTCCTGCTTCGGGAACCAAGCATCGCAAAGTGACAATTTTAAAACAGCTGATCGGCGGTTTCAAAATGGCCACCGGGTAAACAAAATGGTCGCCCGCTGTTTTCTGGGACGGATTCCTCACTTAAGAGGCACCGAAAATGACCGTGTTTTGGAGGATCTTCGCTGAACGGTGAGTTTTAAGTCCATAGGAACGCATTAATCAGGTTTTAATGCAGTTCTGTGGGCTTTTTATTTCGCATTGTGACGTTTTCGTTCTGCAACGATTTTTGCAGAACGAATTAACATCGCAATGCGAGGCACCACTGTATTTATGCTGCACATTTACCTGGGAGTAAGCCCAGTTTGTTTGTTTGTTTGTTTGTTTAATATCCCACCTATCTGGTCAGTTAACATCAGTGTGTGTTGTGTCTGAGGGAAAATGTACATAATGTAAATTACTTTACATTATGTGTTGTTAAGTTGGTCTCTTACAGTGACCTTAATATGGGTTTCAAGGTAAGTAGCTAACATCAGTGTGTGTTGTGTCTGAGGAAAAATGTACAGGATCTGTACTATTACTTTACATTATGTGTTAAGTTGGTCTCTTACAGTGACCTAAATATGGGTTTCGAGGTAAGTGAGATACTCAAGGAGTGGTTATACCAGTTCCATACCCCCAGTAAGCTTTCATGACTGAGTGGGGACTTGGACCCCGGCTTCCTGAGTCCTAGTCCATTACCCTATCCACTACACCACACTGGCTATCATGTACTATTGCTAGTATACTAAAGTAGTACAGTAGTGTAGATTTCTCTCCTCGTGTAGAGATTTGTATGCTCAATTTCTGACTATTGAACTGAAGTTTTTTTGCTCAGCAATATATCATATGGCAAAACTGAATCTACTGTGTACCATTTGAGAATGCAAGGCATGGAGAAAAAATAAAAAAGATATTTGATCATACATATAACTACAGCAGCAAGAATTTTATATGCCAAATACTGGAAAAAAGAGGAGACTCCAACAACCCAGGAGTTAATAGAAAAGTCTTGAAGCAGCAGAGATGGATATTTTAACTGAAGTATTAAAAGATAAATTGCTGAGGCTAGAAAAAAGTGGGAACCTATGTATAATTGGATGAGATAAGAAAACGAAAGGGTTAAAACTACGAGAAAGAAAATATAAGATATAAATTTAGATTTTAAAGGCTTAGAAAAAATGTTAAGATAAGTGTAAAGTAAGCTTAGTAAGAAACATATAGACAAATGTAATAATGATATATACTGTTCTCTATCACAGTCTGTATTTTTATTTACCCCAATGCCCTGATCCAAATCCCATTCCCTGTATCTTCCCTTACCCAATGGAAAATGAATAAAAAAATTTAGAAGAGAGAGGGAGAATGCAAGGCATGCAGGAGGGAACTATGTGATTGATTGATTGATTGCTGTACAGTACACAAAACAAGAGCTCTTGTATAGGGAAAGCAAATGTAACCTGCCTACCTTCCTTACATGTTAAAATTCTGTATGAGGGAAAGAAAGGGAGGGAGACTTTTCTTGCAAACTGAAGTGGTACAATAGGCCTTTGACCAATTGAATTAAGGAACTGAATTAAGGAAGAATTAATTGCAGCTATGTAGAAAGTTTGCCCTTATACTATCTTTGGTGTATTAAGTGTTGTAATAAAGGCCTATTTACTTATTAAGAAGCTTAATCAAAATGTTCTCTTAACACTACACTGTGAGCATCTTTGAGAATAAGCAACTGACAAGCATTCAAATTATATATCTACTCTTTTATTTGCTTGGCCTTGCCAAGATTTGCTAGTGCTGTACAGAGCTTAATGAAGGGTAAGGAGCATGCATAGAGAAGACAAATAGTTTACTTTCATTTGTGTCTCTCAGGGATGTGAATAATATGCTTTGGCACCCCTGAAAGTAACCAGTAAAATTATGAAAACATTTCCAGTATGACCTGAATTTTAACCTGTTATTAAACTAGTCACTTATTCTGTATGGATGGTGAAGGAGCACCGGTTTCTGAAATGTGGAACAGCAAAGTTTCTTAGTGCAGATATTGCTATTACTAGTTATACTATCAGGCCTCTTTAGGCTATCACATGCATCATATTAGGAGCTACAATATATATCTGTAAAACTGTTATATCCTTATTTTCTCCTCCCCGAATTTGGGATGTCTTCATATATATGGGCCTTTCTGTACATATTAGGTATTTTTCTTTGATTTGCTGCTGTAATCAGTCCTCCAAAATCTCCTCCATTAAACATAAGTAATTGTGCACTCCTTCAAATTTTGGATTCACCAAAATATCAAGCAGTAGTATAGTATTCAAAATAAAGCATCTGGCAGTGTTGTTCAGAAATCTTTTAGACCAAATATATATATTTCTTGTTACCTGGCTGGATAGCTCACCGATTTAGGTATCTAGCTCTGGAGCCAGAGGTTGGAAATTCAGTTCCCCATTGTGCCTTCTGGGAGAAGAGCCTGCCTGCTTGGCTGTGGGCAAGCTGCGCAGTCCCAAGGTGCCCCCAGAAGAAGGAATCTGGCAGTGTTGTTCAGAAATCTTTTAGACCAAATATATATATTTCTTGTTACCTGGCTGGATAGCTCACCGATTTAGGTATCTAGCTCTGGAGCCAGAGGTTGGAAATTCAGTTCCCCATTGTGCCTTCTGGGAGAAGAGCCTGCCTGCTTGGCTGTGGGCAAGCTGCGCAGTCCCAAGGTGCCCCCAGAAGAAGGAAACGGTAAACCAGTGAGCAAGCTGCACAATCCCAAGGTGCCCCCAGAAGAAGGAAACGGTAAACCACTTCTGTGTACTCTTTACCTGGAAAACCCTGAAAAGGGTTGCCATAAATCAGAATTGACTTGATAGAACATGATTATGCAATATGGTGTATTTCTTAGTGATTGCCATCATTTTTCTTAAATGCCCCATGATTAGAGTTAAGAATAAATAGGATATGGTATAATATTTTATACTGAGATTTTTTAGAGAATATATTTTTAAATAAGCATGTATTATTCAGTACAGCAGTCTAGAAATATTTCTCTGTGTGTGACAGCCGGCTCACATGCTATAAGAAATTATTCTTACTCAAAGAGTAGTGGAGTGACTTAGTGGTGACTTGTTTCACATGACTGCTAATGCAGAAGTTAACCTTCCAAAAACAGCTGTGGTAGTCTTTATCCCAGAAAATGTGGGAAGTTAGTGTTTAAAATAAGGTTGCCAAGACGTATTATTGGTCGATTTTGTAAAAATATTTAGAGACCTTATGTAAAACTTGGAACGTGCTGACAGCTGAACAGCTCTAAAAATCAGAGTGCTGATAAAAGTTTGAAGAACCTAAGACTGAGTTATTAAATAACTAATTTCTAAGAGCAGGCTTTTAAAAAGAAAAAGCAGCTTTTAAAATTGAAATCAGTTTTTTATTTCCATTATATTTTTTAAGAATTATTGTTAAAATGTTTCAAATGCTTTGAAAAAAAATTCTGTGTAATGATAATTTTAATTTAAAATTTGTTGTATCAAACATCTCATTATGGAGTAGTGACTATAAATTCTTGCTCTATAATATGAGGCATCATATTCATATTCTTGCTCTGTATAATAAGGCACTGTATTCATATGATCTTTTAAAAATGTTTTGTAAATAAGGCCGAGCACTTTTTGAATCCGTGTTTCCTGAGATTCTGTAACACTCTGCAAAGGTTCTTTCGGTTACTATTTCAGTTTCTCCCCCAATACACAATCTAGTATATAACAATCAATAAAAATCATAGTTCCAGTCTAGTACATATCAATTATTTTGGAGCCTGCTAGAGAGAAATGCTTAATTACTATAACCATTAGGATTCACAATCCTGTATTTGTTGTAGCCTTTTCAATGTCTTGCTATATTAATTTCGCAACAAAATGCTTTAAAAAATATGGTATGTAATAACAACCCTAAACAAAGCTTCCCTTCCAAGACTGCTGTCTCTGCACATGGACCACACTGCCAGTTGGGTGGCACATGCACAGTCTGAATCCCAAGCCTTGGGATCACAATTAACATCACTGATTACTGATACCTCCAAGAGTAATTTCAATAGTTTTGCACATTAATGCTTGCTTCTTCAGAGTGATAATCCTGGCTGTTGTGCCTCTGCAGCAGTGTGTAGACAAAACCAAATTCAAATCCCCTCTCTGAAAGTGCACACTTTTGGACACTGAAGTGGAATAAATGTGGGCAAACTGTGCAAAAATATATAAGGTAATAGCATGTAGGACGGCACTTCCTAGGAAATAAAAATTCACATAATTTAATTGACTGAATAGTGATTTAAATTGTGATTGAAATAATGACTTAAATAAATTTAATTTAAATCAATCCCCTCTGTGAAGAAGAAGAAGAGAAATAGCTACAGATGGATATTAGTTGCTTGTATGATTTCTTCATCTGTATTTTGTATTCCTCATCTTTGGTATGAACCATGACTGACGTTCTGCTAAGGTTCCAAAGTCTTTGCTCTGGGATGAGACTACAGTGCTGTATCCTCATTTGGGAAAAATCAAAATAACTCTGTTGCCTCCAACATTATTCCATCTTAACATAAAGAGAACCAAAAATATACTGTGCCAACTGTGTTTTAAATATGACCCTCCCACATTTTCACTGTTGACTGTTGCTGTATATAGAACTTTACATAGATCCTTGAAGAATCTGTCTCTGGGACCTGGGTTTCAGAGCTTGGAAGTTCATAAAATTCTGGATGGCAGTTAATGAAAATATTAAAACATGATTTCCAGTTTCTCCCTGTCTGGAACAGTTTGTATCATTTCAGAATGTAGATTTATTTTAAGATGGCTTTAGGTTGAACCATAACAAGGTCTTGGAAGATTTACCACTCTTTACTACAAGCCCCATAATCCCTCAATCAGCATGGCCACTTTTCTAACTCTAGCTACTGCCGCAAGACAGGACTCTATTACTTAAAATAAACTGGTGTTCCTTTCAGATTCTTGGCTTGAATTAATGCTGCTAAAACTTGCCCCTTTGTAAGACAGCTGGTTAGCTACACTGTCACTTATGTGTTTATCTTGCCTCATGGTATGTGAGCCGTGACTGTCCTAAGAATTGCAATTAAGATATAGTTGTCTCCTGCCATAACTCTGCTAGACCCAGATATTTTAGGGTTTGTGGGGTGTGCCATCCCATTAGATTTTAAATGTCTTTGGAGCTAGCACTTTGAAATTTTTTATAGCTGGTTATGAGAAAACTAGCTCTATGCTATACAAGATTATCAAAGCAGTTTCTCCTGGAGCTGTTAACATGATTCCAGTCTTTATCACAGAATACCATGTGTATTATTTATAGCCTATGGAGTAGGAATTGGCAAGCCACTCCAATATCTTTGCCAAGAATACCCCATGAACAAAAGGCTAAAAGATATGACACTGGAAGATGGGCCCCTCAGGTCAGAAGGCGTCCAACATTTTACTGAGGAAGAGTGGAGGACAAGTACAAGTAGCTACAGAGCTAATAAAGTGGTTGGGCCAAAGCCGAAAGGATGCTCAGCTGTGGACATGCCTGGGACTGAAAGGGAAGTCTGTTGCTGCAAAGAAAAATACTGCATAGGAACCTGGAATGTAAAATCTATGAACCTTGGCAAGCTGGATGTGGTAAAACAGGAGATGGCAAGAAGAAACATTGACATCCTGGGCATCAGTGAACTCGGGAATGGGCAAATTCAATTCAGATGATCATCATATCTACTATTGTGGGCAAGAATCCCATAGAAGGAATGGAGTAGACCTCACAGTCAAGAAGAGTGGGAACAGCTGTAATACTTTACGGCTTTACGGCTTTAATGCTTTACGGCTTTAATCTCAAAAATGATGGAATGCAAAAAGCCGGACTGGAGGAATCCCAAGCCGTAATGAAGATTGCCAAAAGAAATATCAACAACCTCCGATATGCAGATGATACCACTCTGATGGCAGAAAGTGAGGAGAAATTAAAGAACCTCATAATGAGGTTGAAAGAGGAGAGTGCAAAAAAGGTCCAAAGCTCAACATCGAGAAAACTAAGATAATGGCCACTGGTCCAATCACCTCCTGGCAAATAGAAGGGGAAGGTATGGAGGTAGTGACAGATTTTAATTTCTTGGGCTCCATGGTCACTGCAGATGGTGACAGCAGCCATGAAATTAAAAGATGCCTGCTTCGTGGGAGGAAAGTAATGACAAACCTAGACAACATCTTAAAAAGCAGAGACATCACCTTGTTGACAAAAGTCAGCAAAGCTATGGTTGTTCCTGTATTGATGTACGGAAGTGAGAGCTGGACCATAAAGAAAGCTGACCGCCGAAGAAATGATGCTTTTGAATTGTGGTGTTGGAGGAGGCTCTTGAGAGTCCCCTGGACTGCAAGGAGAACAAACCTATCCATTCTAAAGGAAATCAACCCTGAGTGCTCACTGGAAGGACAGATCCTGAAGCTGAAGCTCCAATACTTTGGCCATCTCATGAGAAGAGAAGACTCCCTAGAAAAGACTCTGATGTTAGGAAGGTGTGAAGCCAAAAGGAGAAGGGGACGACAGAGGACGAGATGGTTGGACAGTGTCACCAAAGCTACCAACATGAATTTGACCCAAACTCCGGGAGGCAGTGGAAGACAGGAGGGCCTGGCGTGGTCTGGTCCATGGGGTCACGAAGACTCAGACACGACTAAATGACTAAACAAGAACAAATATTGAAGTCATATTAATAAGCTGTACTATGTTACTAAAAATTATTGGGTAACATTATTTCTAATCACCATCATAAAATTGTATGATGTAGCAGGAAGCAGACTACATGCTAGGTCACTCTTGTTCAAATGCTGTTGCAAGGTGGGTGCATTAGGGACAGCACACAGTTCTAGCTGTGTGATGTCTGTTATTTTCTTAAGTTATTATGACATATGTCAAGGAGGAATGTTGTCAAAATCTTCAGTCTTGAGCTGACTTCCATAATATCTGACTTGCTTTATGTCACACAATTAAACAAGTGATGTTGACATTTCAGCACTATATATTTTAACTCTTGTGCCTTGCAAAATTATCTTAATCTTCTACAACCACTGTATTTGTTATTATAATACTCTTTTCTTTAAAGCCATGAGATATTAAATGAAAGAGGATCTACTACATCCTCAAAAATTATTACAGTAATAGGGCTTATTTTCAGGGAAATAGGATAGTATTGCTGTTTGGCAGATAATACACGAAGCCAACCACATAAAAAGATACTGAGATTTTGTCTTGAATTGTGACAAAGAAGGATTTTGAGATTTTTGCCTGAGATATTTAGGACATCCACTGAACTCTGTAATTTGTTACGATACTTGTGCAGTCACGATAGTAACTGACAGGAACAATTTTTGTAATCTTGCAGGAAATCATTGCCTCTTTATTTCTTTGGATTACTTTAAAGAATTTTGGGTTGCATTAGTGGCATAATCAGCTTCTTCAATAAATAGGTAATGCTGTGCTTAAACTATGCAACATTATTGTTATATAGGTCTTTAGCTGAAGATTTTGGTGGTTCTGATTTGGTGCTAGAAGATGCGCATTCGGATGACGAGCTGATACTGAGAGATGTGAGCAGCTCTGATGAAGATGCAGATACTAATTCAGACTCCAGCAAAGGGGAGCTTGATACACAAGAAAACGAACAGGTAGATATAATTATTTTGGTATACTTATACTTACTAATTTATTTTGGCCAGTTCTATGGTACCTTCTGATATTATTCTCAGTGTAGCTCACAATAGGAAAAATATAACAGAACAAAACACAGATAACTGGGTCAAAACAATTAAAAAAGTAAAAGTAGAATCATCACAATCTCAGCTGAGCGAAGTAATACGTATCTATCAATGAAAGGTTTTGTTTGTTTATTTGTTTTGATATGATTCTACTCAAATCTTGACCCCATCCTGCTAGGTTTTCCTGGCCTTGGTACTGCAGTGTCTTCAGGACCTAAGTGTTGCTAATTATTTCTGATTAAATTTCATGTTGAAAAAGCTTTCTGAATTACAGTAATTTTTTAAATTTAATTTAGTGGAAATAGCCTTGAAAAATAAAAATGGATGACTGAATATTTAATGCAAAGCTTATTGAGTTCAAAATATGCCATCATCCTGACTCAAATATTTCACTAGTTGATTGATGCCATTTTAAAATCAAAGTCCTGCTGCTTTCTTAAATAGATAGAAATCTGAGCTATTGGCAGTTAACGGTATAATACTGTAACATTTAAAGGGCTAATGTGCTTGTATTCTAAAACTTTTGCATGCAACGATGCGGTAGCAATATCAGAGTTTGGGAAAATTACTTTTTTGGGCGGCACCTCCTATAATGCCTCATATAGTATGTCAGGCTTGTCCAACCTGCAGCCCATGGGCCGCATGCGATCCAGGTTGGCTTGTAATGCGGCCCAGTGCAATTTTTTATTTTAAAAGAAATTCCAAAGTTTCAAGTTACACTACTGGCGCTTGCGGCTGGAATGCGGCCGGGGCACGTCACAATGGTAGGGGGGGAGAGAGGGAAAGAAGGAAGGAGCAGGAGGGGAGGGGAGAGAGGGACTGCATGAATGCATTGCACCATCCCCGTCAATAGGTGGACCCCCTCCCGGCCCCATAAAGCCACCGGAGTCGAAGCTGGCAGCCTCTGCTGTCTGAGATCGCCACTGCCGGTAAGCGTGCTTGGAGTGGCCCAAACCAAATTTATGTGCGGCCCAAACCAAATTTTCATCTTCTAATGTGGCCTAGGGAAGGTGAAAGGTTGGACACCCCTGCAGTATGTATTATGTAGAGGTGTTTTTTTTAATACATTTTCCTATACTGAGGTGGTATATAGTAGTACTGGAGCCAAAAGTTTATTTATGCTGCTAGGATTCTCTACCATTTTTGAATGAAGCTTAATTTTATTTGCAGATTAACACAGCTGGGAAGAAAACAAAGGTTTACCATATTGCTAAAGAAATCATGAGCTCAGAGAAAGTGTAAGTATCTGTATGGAATTAAGTAGTTTTGTGTAGGCTTGTGTGAATCTTACTTCCTTTGTAGCTTAGAATTGTTTCTCTTTTTAAAATAGGTTCGTCGATGTGTTAAAACTGCTGCACATTGTAAGTATCTTACTTTTGTTCATATGTGTGCTTGGTTAAAAGTTAATAATCTACTAATGTCTTTACAGAAATTGTAAACCCAGTGTTACTAATATTCCCTTTTGAAAACCACTAACCAGACTAATTAAGCAACAGTAAAATAAACTGTCAAAATTCCTGGGTAATGGATAAAAGAAAATTAAGTGTGAGGTGCAGGGAAGAAGTTTGGGCTAGATGTTAGATTTTTCAGAATGTATCCTTTTTAGGGCTACCATAAATAGACTGGGGAGTAGAAACACTGCAATTAAGACCAGCAGTCTGGAATTCATGAGCATTCCCATCCAGGTCAGAATGCTGTAGAGCAGGAGAGTGTCCTTTTGCAACTTTTGGCAGGGGGGTGGGACTGTTTTTGTGTTTTGACATCTGAAAATATTTTGCTTATGTGTGCATAGGTAAACCTTTACTTACAAAGAAAATGCAACACAGGTTTAATTTACTTATGGCAGTTTGAGATGTTAAGCATCCCATCTGTACGGGGAAAGGAAATGACATGTCAGAATCAACTTTATGTAATTGGGAGGGACAAGGATGCAGTCACCTTTAGTACTTTGCTAAAAGGAATTATTCCTTGTTACCATTCATCATATAGATTACTTGCTTGCCATTACAGTGATATTTTGCTCTTGTTTTTATTTCCTTAATTGCATTTTCTTAGAATGAGCAGGGTTTTGTATTTATATTGAAGGGTATCCAGATAGAAAAAGTAAGACTTATATGGTTAGGGTGTTTTTATACTCAACTAAGCTTTAAAAAAAATACTTCCCCACCCCCCATTATTGCTTTCAGGTATTGCCAGAGGTATGTGAGCTTGACTGGCCAGGCAGCCAAGTTTGAGCCTGACCATTCTGGGTTTTCTTCTTCTTTGATAATCAAAGTTCAGAGAACTACTTGTCAGGTCAGGGCTTTTTCACTTGACAGCCAGTCTCCTCACTCTGCCATCCAAATCAAAAAGGAAACAATTGGAGTCCTAGAGCATGGAAAAGCTAATTTTTGGACTACAACTCCTAGTTATCTACCCAGCATTTACGGGAGTTATAATCTAAAAAGGTAACATTTCCATGTTCTGCCAATATCACTTTATTAAATTTAAGAGTAACCAAGAATTGTATAGTCTAATGCAGTTTTAGCTTTTTAAAATTGCTTAGATTTAATTTTTTGGATAATGAGAGAAAATATGAGAATATATTAGCTATTAAAAGTCATTGATGTTGCCAGGCATTTTATCTTATCCTTTCTGCTTTTAATAGGCTAACGACAGACTTGGTATACCAAGCCTTTTTAAAATAGGCACATTTTCCCAATCACCTTCATTTCTTCTATTCTCTTATTTTCTGTTGCACCCATATAGATTACTTGCTTGCCATCTTCTTGGATATAATTTTGCTTTGCTGGCAAAACTGCTGAATTTCACAGACAGCACAGTATGGGTACCAACTTAGCTGAGTATAGATCTGAAAGTATTAAATGATTTCATACTTATACAGCCAAGTTACATTTTTGTGACTATGGAATAGAATTGTTGGCTTTAAATACATGGCTTGGCACCATGAGAACGGCTCTTATGCTCACATACTTCATTCTCCTCCCCAAGTCCCTTGTCTTTTCTATTGTAAACAGTTTGCCACAACATTTCAATCAGCAAACTCTGGTTTGCTCAATTGATCTGAACTGTGGCTTTAGTTTTAATTCTAGGCTTTGAGGAAGAGCAGAAAGCAATTTTTTATTTATTAGATGCAATGTTGTATCATGATTTCCATAAAATGAAGAGATTTAAAACAGTGTATCATGGGACAAAGGAGTATGTGAACATAAGGCTGACACATATAAGGTCAGGTCATGTAAACAAAGATATTGGCTTCACTGGGACTTATCTGGTTCCAATGGACATTACTATTAATTTGAATAAAGAATATATTTGTAAATAATTTTGTGCTTGTTAACTTCTGACTGTCTCTTCATCAGGGAAATGTAAGCAAAGGCATTTAAAGTGGTGGTATACTTATATGTGTGTATCATATGGCAACAGATACACACTCATGACATAGACACTTTTATTGAGAACATCTTTGTTAGTTCCTGTTTTTTATAAAATGGAAGTTAGTATTGAACTATGGAGCTGCTCTTACACTTTAAAAAAATAGCCAGTGCATGAAACTGTTCCTTACTGGTCTGTAATTCAGTAACTCAGCACCTGTAATCCATTAAAATTTATTAGAAGAATTTAACCTCTTGTAGAAGTCACATGGGAGCCACATGTGAATATTGAAATCTGATGAGACTAGGAAATGAATCCTGAAGATGGCAGGTGTCCTTTTTATCTTAAAGGAACAATATTCCAGATTTCCTTTTAGGAAATACTATCTCATTTGAAAATGAGCTTTCTTTTGAAAAGTAAACTGATTGGTAATGTCTTTTATTATTGACACAGATTGTATGCTGAATTTTGAATTAATCAAATTTTGCAAACCTTAACTTTGCAGCATTGGAACCTGCTTTTGAAACTTAAGGTTTTGGAAATAGTTTGTAATGGGCCGTGGAATATGTGCATATGCACATGAACAGCAGAAGTGGAGAGCAACCTTGTATGAAGACATTTGTTGGTGTCCTTCCATCTTTTATAAAATAAAAACAAAATAAAATAATTGTCCCCCTCCCCCCAGAAGAGCTATAATTATGGAACTTTGTGATAGTGTTGTTGCATGTATACGCCTTTTAAACGTTGTATGTGAAAGATGGGAGGAATATAGCCAGGGTGGTTTTGCCAGCATTATGGAGTCAAGCACATCTGTTCAATTGTTGCCTCCCGTGCAGCTAATAAAGGCATACCGAGCTTCTGACCCAAAAAAAAAAAAAAATGCAGGGAGAACAATCCTCCATCTGCAGTCCAGAAACGCAAGCAAGTTTATTCTGTCTATAGTCTTTGTTTTTGGGAGAGTTGCTTGTTATAACAAGGGCTAAATGGCTCCTTTCCTGTTGTTGATTTAACATAACAGCACAACTAAAGAATTTTATGTTTTATCAAGTCATACTACATTTTGTTCTATTGTGGAAGGAAAACAATATGGTCTCAAGGTGTTGTATCACAGAACCTCCACTTGCTGGTATGGAATGCTTTTTTGTGTGTGAAACAGAAAACATACATCTGGTTTTCTGTAGGTATTGGGTTGTTGGGGGTATATTAGCAGAGAGTGGCATGAAAATGAATAATAATTATAATGCTTATGACAAAAAGGACAAGACCTGCCTGTTACCCTTTCACTTGTGTATTTATGAACAAATGCATTCAGAATTGTGGCATAACACCAGTCAGGCTTATGCATGTTAAAAACACATATATTCTCACTGCCCTCCCCACCACCACCCCAAAGTGTTTTTAAGTGTTTCTACTAGGGTTATGCATGTAATGTTTTGCCTAAAGCTATTAGGAGCTACTGTGTTCCATCTGGATTCTATTAATTATAGTAATCCCTTGACTTATTTCTGTATGTGATGGCAACGTTTGAAGGTCATAAAACCCCAGGCGTGTAAAAGAGTTAGTTAACTTGTTTTGCCAGTTGGCTCCCAAGATATAAAAATACTGCATTCCCATATGAATGAAACCATCTGTTTTTGCTGAAGTCTAGGGACATTAGGTCTGCAATACCAAAATGCACCCTTCCTGTTCTTGCTTCAAATAATCTAATTTTAGGAAAGATTGCACGGTTAAAAAATACTGGGGTGATTGCTGACCAATGTGCCCTGTTCAACTGTGTTTTTGTTTTTAGGCATAGACTCCTACATCTCAAGCAACTTGTAGATATGTTTATATAGTTGGTTTACTTCATTTATATTTCTTCACTGATAGCGTACTGCGTTATTAACCATTCCTAGCTGACAAAAGTGAATCAGTTTCTTCAGTGATAGCGTACTGTGTTATTAACCTAACCATTCCTAGCTGACAAAAGTGAATCAGACCATGCACTGAAAGTCCATATTACACCCTGAATGTGCTTTTTAGGGTGGCTGTATATCATCTTCAGTATCAAAGGCACTGTGTGCCTCTGCATGTACATTCCTGGGGAACGTGAGATATAGGGTGCAGCTGTACTCATGTTCTAGTGGCCATTTCCCAGAGACTGTGTGGCTGCTGTGCTGGTGGAACAATTAAATTAGCTTAGAGGCCAGCCACAGAGACAGGGGAAATGTTAGGGAGAACAACCTTCAGAACACGGCCAAAGAGCATGAAAAACCCAAAACAACTAAAATTAGCTTTTATTTAGACTGATCCAACATCCTGTTCTTATGTAAGGAGAGAAGGGACTTGTAAGTAGGAAATGATTGAGCACTGTTTCCCATTCTGATGTTGAGTTAAGGAAGAGGGTGCTGTAAAATGCACTATCATCCTTTAGCCTTAAATATATCCTTGCATCTCCAGCATGTAGATGTTTTATCTGCAAGGAGAATAAGGAGGTTGTGTGAGAGCAAGAGAGAACACAAGTACGTACTGGATTTCTGTTTTTAAGTTGACACGATCCTCAATAGCAACTTTTAGATTTGCACAGAGATAAGAACCGGTTCCCACGTTAATGGTTTCTGCCTGTAAAAATATTTGTGGCAGGTGGCATGAATAAGCCACAACAAAAGCCTTGTCAGTCAGTAAGATGTACATTTTAATAATAAATGCTGAGTTTCAAAAATGTGTGTATTAGAAAAGTACAGCAGCAGAGATAGGATAGGTGTTTGCTGCCAGTTGATATGTGAAAGTTTCAAAAATGTGTGTACTGTTTTCGAAAAGTACAGCAGCAGAGAAAGAATAGGTGTTTGCTGCCAGTTGATATGTGAAGGTTCTTTGAATTGTTCAGAGTTGAGCTACTTTACCATGGGCTGCATGTTCAGTCCTTGAACTTGGCCAGTTGGGATATGTGGTATTTGTACAAAGGAAATAGCATGACCTGCATTTTTATTTGGAAACCATTTTCTCAAAGAGTATGTGTTTGTGTATATTTCCTGTTTGTACTGTAATAGGATTTCCGAGATGCAGTCACACATGCTTCCAGGCAGCTTGGAAAGCCTGTAATTGAGGACAGAATCCTGAATCAGATCCTGTATTACTTACCTCAGCTGTATGAGCTTAATCGGGACCTCTTGAGAGAGCTAGAAGAACGTCTGTCTCACTGGTAACGCTATATGGTGTATATTCCTTCTGGTTAATCAGTTCCTTAATTGAGCTTTGCATTCTAAAAAAAAAAAGGGAGATCACCACAAGGTCTGATTATTTTTAGGATCAGGAATAAGACTTGTGATAATTTCCAACATTTTAGATTATAAATGTGATTTCTGAAGCTAACAATCCGCTATTGTGATGTGACTATTTTCAGATAGATTTTCGGTCAGTATAAAGAAATGTGTGTCTATGGATCCATTTTCATCATTGGGCCATTTAGGGCAGACAGCTGAGGTAATACAGGAACACAAGTGCACTTTCACTGGCTGTAAAATTGATAAATATTTTTGACAAGTAGAGTCCTTTCGAGGTGGGCTTTTTCCCAGCTATCTTCTAGATTGAGTACTAAGAGAGATAGAAAAATAAACCAAATTATCTATATAGAAGTCTATAGAATTTAGTAAAATTTAAGTTTTAGACTGTTGGACCTACAGTGGTGCCTCTACTTACGAATGCCACTACATAAGAACCTTTTGACTTACGAACAGCTCCGGTTGCAAAATTTTGCTTCTACTTGTGAAGGGAGCTTTCACTTACGAACACAAAAAGGCAGGGGGAAAGGGTGGGAAATTCAAATAGATCAGTGGTCCCCAACCTTGGGCCTCCAGATGTTCTTGGACTTCAACTCCCAGAAATCCTGGGCAGCAGATGTGATGGTGAAGGCTTCTGGGAGCTGTAGTCCAAGAACATCTGGATTCCCAAGGTTGCTGCTTTACAGTTTTACAAAACTGTTCTGGGTATTTTTGCAGTGTGGTTTTCGGCTGGAGAGGTTATGCGTCTGTGCTGTGATGGGTCTTGGGGGTTATTTGTTTTTTGTTTGTTTTCCCCCATTTCCGATGGGGGGGGTTGGTTGCTTTTTGGAGTGTTTTCCCCATTTCTGATGGGTCTTGGAGGGGTTTGTTTTTTGGTCCCCCCCATTTCTGATGGGTCTTGGGGGGTTTGGTTGCTTTTTGGGGGGAGTTCCCCATTTTCAATGTGTCTTGCATGCTTTTTTGCTTTGTTTTCTTTGCATTTCTGGTCTGCTTCGTTTGTTTTTGCAATGGTTCCTGCACACTTCCCTTGCTTTTTCCTTTGATGTATGTGCATTTCCAACCTTGTCCCTTTGTTCTCTGTGCATCTCTGATCAGCTCCGTTTGTTTTTGCAATGGTTCCTGCGTGCTTCCCTTTGTTTTTTCATTTGATTTCTGTGCATTTCCAGCCTTGTCCCTTTGTTCTCTGTGCCTTTCTCCATTTGTTTTCTGTGCATTTGCAATGGTTCCTGCATGCTTCCCTTGCAGCTTGAGTTTGGGCTAGGTGGGGGGTTATGTTTCTGTGCGCTGATGGGTCTTGCAGACCCTTTCTGCAAGGGCCTCTGCTGGCTGATTTGCTCTAAAATGGAGTTTAGACTCAAGGCTCCCCACACATTGTCTTCTCTCTCTCTATGCTTCCCAGGTGCTTGGTTTGGTTTATAATGTGTTTTGTTTAAAAGGTGCTTGGTTTGGCTTAAAAGGTGTTTGGTTTAAAATATGTAAAATGTGGTGTAAAATTGTTCCCCATTGTTCCCTCCCTCCTTTCCTGCTCTTTTTTTGTAACCGAAGTAATCTTAGGTTAAAAAAAATTCTCCTCCTAGTGGTAGAGGACGGATTAACTGGTTTTGCATTAGTTCCTATGGAACTAATGCTTCAACTTAGAAAATGTGCCTCTACATACAAATAAAAAACAGCCAGAATGGATTAATTGTTTTTCAGTGCATTTCTATGGGAAATGCTGATTCAACTTACAAACGTTTCGACTTAAGAACATCTTCTGGGACAGATTAAGTTCGTAAGTAGAGGCACCACTGTATTTACAAAACTTTGCACATTCATACAATTTTCATAATGTAATATAGAATTATAATGTGTAACCTTTAGTTTGCAATTAGGTCTCTGAGTTATAACACTTTAAAAACTGATGATTTTTTAAAAAAACAATAGCATGTTAGTGCCAAAAGTAAAAAGAACTACTTTAAATTTTAAAATCTGATAAAAACATTTTTATTAACAATCATAGATTTTTATCTCCTCTGCCTGAAATCTCTAAGGCCAAACCAGATATGATGTTCACATAATTTGGCCTTGCTTGGTTGTTTCTGTACAGTTTTGGTTTTTTGTAAATTGATTGTGCTGGAGTAAGACGAACTAAGGTCTACATGTACACAATCTGATTGTTTGTGGGGTTAAATTTCAGGATTGACAATGAAAGAATTGCTGATATATTTCTGAAGAAAGGACATTACTTAAAAATGTATTCAACTTACATCAAAGAATTTGATAGGAATGTGACCCTGCTGGACGAGCAGTGTAGGAAGAACCCAGGATTTGCTGCTGTTGTGCGGGATTTTGAGGTAAGTACTGTAAATGTTTCTAAGTGTGCTAGTCCAGACATTATTTATTCTAGTTTCATTTAAATGATGCATGTCTTTTTATCAGATGTAGTACAAGTGATTTTTTTTCAGTTATTGACCCTTTTTAAAATGCATGGGAGTGGAGGTTTGGTATGTTTGCACAGCAGCTTGCCTGGTTTTTAACAGCTAAGCAATAAATTATCTGATAACATCTGATTTTAAAACGCAGTATACATTATACTTAAGTATTATACCTAATTGTAAGCAATTAGTTTTGTTTTGGTATCATCTTACTAAAGATATGCAAGAAAAATGCACCGAGAAAACTTATAATACTTGAATCAGATTTCTGACTGGAATAAAATACTATCAATAACTCATGTTACAAAGGTCTGTAGGTTTCAAGCAACGTATGTCATTTTTAATTTTTGGTGCCAAATGGCAATTTAAGAAAATGAACTTATTTTACTGACAAATTTTAAAAGAAAAAATTTAAGACATTTTATATAGTTATTGGTGAAGTTGTGTAATCAGAATAAGAGTAACAGCCAATTCATTTTTAAAATCCTTAAACCTTTTAAATGAGCTTATGAAGCTTGTGAATCCATTTTCTGTTTTGTTGGCTTCTGCTTCAGTGCTTTGAAAACTAATTCAAGAAGAATCTACTTCAGCAGTTGTAGCCAGAATAGACATTCTACATCTGTAGTGTGCACCCAGAGATATAAGCAAAACAGCTAAGTAAAGAAGAAAAATATAAACAAAACAAAAGGCCATTTCCCTCTGTTTGCAAGTCTCTTGTCAGGGTTTATCCGGCACTGAACAGGAGTTTGGACTAGATGGCTTGGTATGTGAAGGTTTTTAAGTTCTGCATCCACAAGGAAGGGATTCTTAATGCAATTTGAGCTGAACAGAATATTAAAAGGTAAAGGTTCCCCTTGACAATTTTAGTCCAGTCGTGTTCGACTCTAGGGGGCGGTGCTCATCCCCGTTTCCAAGCCATAGAGCCAGCGTTTGTCTGAAGACAATCTTCCGTGGTCACATGGCCAGTGCAGTGCGACTTAGACACGGAACGCTGTTACCTTCCCACTGAAGTGGTCCCTATTTATCTACTTGCATTTGCATGCTTTCGAACCGCTAGGTTGGCGGGAGCTGGGACAAGCGTGGATTCGATCTTACGACTGCTTGGTCTTCTGACCCTGCAGCACAGGCTTCTGCGGTTTAGCCCACAGCGCCACCATGTCCCTTTTGAACAGAATATTAGAAGTAGGCCAAACTCTGGACTAAAACCCTCAATTTTAGATGAAATCTTCTGTTGTTGTAATGTGCCATCAAGTTGCTTTGGACTTTTGGTTGGCTTAGTAGAGTTTTTGTGGCATATGAAATATAGATTCATAGAATAATAGAAAAGTGAAATTGGAAGGGGCCTACAAGGCCACCAAGTTCCCTGCTCAATTCAAGGGAGTATACTATTATCATTCCCCATGGGTTGCTAGAGTTTTGAAACTAGGTCTCCTCAGTTGTTGCCCAGCATTTTATTGACTAAATCATGCTTGTGCTCTGCAAATGTATATTCAAGGTATCATGCCTCAAAGCTTGCAGCTTGCATGCATGAAGGCATAGGGTCTCAGACATGTTAGACAGAAATTTATTATTTTCTGTAAAGTCCCATAGTTTTCTGTATGTCTAGCATTGGTCACAAGATAAATACAACTATACTTGGCTGATATGAGAGTGGTTGGATAGAGGTGAGGAAACTTTCAAAACAATAAAGCTTCTGATGTCTTTGCATGGCAGCATTATAAGTGAGAGATTAAAAAAGTTAATTTTTAGACTGCAGCTTCCAGAATATCTCAGTCAGATCTGCAGTCCAAAACAATAACTTATCTAATATTTTATCTTATTTCTGAAGAGCAAAACAGTTTCTAAAACTAAGTCAAACAATTATCTTTTGGTCATATAAAAACTAATTCAGAATTTGCCTTTCCATCATGCACTAGCAAAGTAAATTGATCTATTTTCAAAGAATTTCGGTTTTCAAAATTATCATTGGTATGTCTTTCAGATGAGCCCTCGCTGTGCTAATTTGGCACTCAAGCACTATTTGCTGAAGCCTGTTCAGAGAATCCCACAGTACAGGTTGCTTTTGACAGGTAAGAGTGTCTATTTCAATGCAAAACCCCGTTTGCACACATTGGCAATCCAACTCAAAAGGGAAATTTTACTTCATACAGTACACATAACTTAGAAATTCAATGCCGCACCAGCTGATGATAAACACTGTCTCCAGAAGATTAAACAAGTCTGTGCATGACAGATGTAGCAAAGGCTATGAGGGATAAAATAACAAGGAGTCTTGTAACACTTTGAAGACTGACACATTTTAATCATCATAAGCTTCCTGGATTGTAGCTCACATCTTCACATGCATCTGCCAAATAAATAATGAGTTTTTAAGGTGCAGCAAGACTCCTTATCATTTTTGCTACAACAGACTAATGTGGCTATTATTCTGGAAATGTTTAGGAGTGGTATTAGAGCTGTAAAACCATTTAAAATGTGAGAGGGCTGTGCTAAGAATACAGGAGACAGCATGTTGACCAGCTAATATAAACAGAGACATTTTTCATTTTTAAGAATGAGAATGAAAAGAAAGAACAACAACAACAAAACCCCCAGTGAACTGTAAATTTTTCTCCCTACACAGCAGGCGAAGTATTTTCTCTTCAGGAAGGCTTTCCATGAAGAGTGGGTATTTTAAATGGATTGTTGTACTTTGCTGCTTTGAATGTGTTTTGGTGTTGCTTATGTTTTTTAGTATGGTATTTGTTTGATCCTTTTTAGTATTTGCATACTCACAGTTGTTAGCTTAAATATTGTCTTTTAATGATGCAAGCCACCTTGGGTCCTTTTGAGCAGAAAGGCAGGGTAAAAATATTTTCAATAAATAATAAGAAATAAATACAGAGTAAAAAAAAAAAAGAATTATCTACATTCAGACAAAGCTATGCTGCTCTTCCATGTCAGTTTCAATGGCTGCTTTAACCATCTCTGTAATATTTTGATTGTATTCCTGATGAATAATAGAGCTGCTCTGCTAGTAGTAATTCAGTGCTCCACTCTGATTTTGATCATAGTTCAAACGCTATCTTTTTTCCTTTCAACGAAAACATTTTCTCCCCATTGCTTTCTTATTTTTTTAGGAGAAACATTAACTTCTATTGCCAAAGAGACAGAGAGTGCTGACTTAGTAAATTCCACACTGTTCAGGCTTCCTTATTCTGTTTAGTTTTCCTTGTATCATATTTTGCATTGGCAGGTCAGGAGTTGTAAATGTTGGTTTTGACATGTCGCTCTTTACCTGTGGAAAAATTTAAAAAAACATATAGAAGGAAATAATCATTTCAGAATTTGTCCTTTCTTCCCATGACATTTGCTCCTCAGTGGGTTTATTCTATTCTAAGTGTTATTTATATGTAAAGTGGGTCTCAGTTTGAAGTATAGATAAACAAATATGTGATTTTGGTGGTTTTCATTAAGAGGATTATGCAAGAATGTTTACTTCAGATATTTGGTTACCCTAAAAAAGTACTGGTGTCAATTCAAATTATTATTTCCTAGTAGAGTAGACCCACTGGATCGATAGATGAATGAATGCACATACTGTAATATACATACATGCTGTCTCACCAAAATGCCATTGATTTAATGAGTCTATTGTATTTGCCATGAATAATTGAATTTAGTCTTTATTGTAATTTATCTAAAACTTTTCTATGTATACATAAATAACATCTCTACAGATGTTAATACATGTATCTAAGTATGCTTGTGTGTAAGTATATACTATGACCAGAATCCTTGCAGAACCCCTATAAATACGTATATTTATAGATATTTAAGAAAACAGTTCATTCCTTGCCATATAGGAACAAGAATTACTATCATGTTAAAGACAACTGGAAAAGAAAAGTAAATTAGGAGGGAACTCATTATAAAATACTAATTTGTCTTGCCTTATTTCCAGTTAAGGGGAAGCTGAAGGATATGTAATTCCATTTGCTCAAATTCCTTCCTTGTTCCTTTCATCTCTTTCCCACCTGTATCCACCATTCAATTAAAAGAGAGAGCAAGAGAGTCCAAGGGGAGTCTGAATTTTTCTGAATAGGGTTGGCATAATTCAGAATTGACTTGACAGCAGCACATGATTATTGTTATCAAATAATATGAAAAGTGATTATGATACTGTAGGTGGTGACAGTGTTATAAAAAATAAAGTAAGTATAAGGATGCAGAGATTTTTTTGGTACAGTTATTACCTCCCTTCCCCACAGCTGCTATGACAAGGATATAGTAAGGGAACTCAAGTCTCATTCCAAATTAGTCAGTCCAGTTAGACCCTTCCATCTCACATATGTGATGTGGAATTTTTCTTACCAGTGTTATTCAACACACTCAAGAAACAGCCCTGGACATGTTATTTTGCATATTTGAGGGTACTCTCCTAAAATATTAAAAAATGCTTATAGAGTTTTGCCCTGACAAGTTTTGGCTCAGGTTAATCCTTGCAAATTGAATTCTAACATGGCTTGTGGAGTAAGCAGCCAAAATACATGTCTTCCTTTGAACCAAAGGAGACATGTATTTACTTTATTTCCTTCCATTTACTCATATCCTCCTTTTCTTCCTGTTATTATTTGCAATATCATTCAACAATGCTGATTGCGGAACAGAAAAGAATGCACTACTGTATTTTCCTTGGTTAATGCAAAAATAGTAAGGTGTTTTTCTTTCACTGCTACTTATGAAAGATATTCCAAAAATGCAGGATTTGCCTAGGGAAAAGATCTTATATACAAGTCTGTCTCATGTTGCTTTTCCTATGAAATATTGAATGTGAACATTAATTTCATTGGAATTTGAAAAGATGAACTTATTGAAAATAAAATTACATCTAGTGCTTATGGCTGAGGAAGGTAGATATTAAATAGTGTAATGTAAATCAGAAGATCGGCAGGAGATAAGTAATCTTGTGCAGAAGATCTGCATAGACCTGTAGGGAGACAAATCAACAAGAGTGCTGCTGTTAACATCTGTGCTAATTTGGAGATTATTATGGAAGGTAATAACTTGAAATAGTGCGTGCAAAAGCCTTTCTTAGTTACAGACCTTGAAAACTGGGATCCTCTGAAAACCTTTGGACATTGCAAAATGACTTTTAACACTTTGTCATAAGTTCTGTGTGAAACGTACAATATTGTATTTTGAAGTGTTCACTGGGACTTATCACTTGCACATTTTGGGGTGGTGCTTCAATATAGAAGATAAATGCATCAACATGACTATAAAACATAGGCTAAAGTATTGAGAGGAATCTGCATTTTGGTATTTGTGATTAACAAAGCTCATGCCAAGTCCTTCAAAGTGGGTGCAAAATACATGATGCGGTTAGTTTGCTAAAGCTGAGCAGAGTTAGGTCTGGTAGGTGCTTACATGGAAAACTGCTTTGGGATCTCATATATCTCATTCTGAATTTCAGAGTACAAGAATGTTAGAAATATAAATACAAAAAGTGAATGTATCCCTTTCCATAATTCTAATTAACCTGAGTTGGGAGAAGAGTGCAAACGTCCCATATCACAGAGATCTGTTATACTGATCATAGAAAAATGTTAGAAGGGGCTTATAAGGTCATTGAGTCCAACTCCCTGCTCAATGCAGGAATCCAAGTCAAAATATATCTGTTGTGTGAGGTTAAACCTCCTTGCCTCAGTCTCTTGCTTCAGAATGTTTAAACGCAGATTGAATAAGATTGTGGCACAGTTCTGCTCTAGTAAGCACTTCCTTTGAAATTTGAGGTTTGCTTTCATATGATTAAAGGATTTTGTGGTGTAGTTCAGCCATCTAGTGGTCAAAAGCAAAATTTACCACAAGTTGAGAAAATGTGCAGGTTTTGCTTCGTTAAAAGTATTTTGTACAGTTACATCGCTGAAGGGTTTCTGTTAAGATACTATAGCATCATATCACTAAGGAGGAAGCCTTGTTGAATGCAGTGGAGCTTACCTCTAGTTCAACACCATATCATGTGTAAACTTCATGACTCCCGTCATGAATTTAACAAAATAAATGGAACACATTCTTATTGCGTGGAGGACGTAATCTGCTAACATTTAACAATCTTTGAGTCTTACCTTTTTCGCTCCATAAGACGCACCTTTCCATAAGACGCACCAGTTTTTTAGGAGAAGAAAACAGGAAAATATAATCTGTTTTCTTCGCTCCATAAGACGCACAGACTTTCCACCCCCCCTGTTTTGTGGGGGAAAAGTGTGTCTTATGGTGCGAAAAATACTGTATGTTTCAGTGGAAGGCCAGCTCTTTATTTTATGTCCCAACTTTTCAGAATGTTCCAAGAGATACAACTTGGTACAATGCAAATGCTGTTTTTCTGTGCAGGACCCTTTTTCTTCCTACCTTCAATTCATTATCCTAGTAATTATATATAGTATGTTTTAGTTACACTGTGCGATTTCAGTGTAATGACATCCTTCTGCAATCTTCCTCATTAATTTTTTTCTTTCCACAGATTATTTAAAGAACCTTTCAGAAGATTCAGCTGACTTCAGAGATACTAAAGGTAAGTCTTTTATAGTTAGACCTCTAGTTAAATGAAAAATAAAAATATTATTGAACACAGTAATTTATAATATTTGTTAGGCTGGTCAGTCATGGGTTATCTGAAGTGCAAAATTCTGTAAGGCTATATCAAAATTTATGGTTTAAAGTGATTGGGAAGGTGACTTTTCTAGTAAAGCCAGAAAATATCTGGTTAGGCTGGCGTGACTGGAAGCCATCACTGGACTTAATGGGTCCTGGCAGTTTCTAGTTGCCTCAAACTGGAGATAACTGGAAGCTGCCAGGACCCATTAAGTCTTACAATTATCTTACAATTGGAAGATTTCAAATCTTTACACAGTCTGTATTTTTCTGGTATTTACTATGAATAGTGCACTACTGATTAAACAGTATAAATCTACATTATTTCCTTTTAAAATAATAATTACAATTGTAATTGATATTATTCAACCCACCTTACAAATCAGGTTTATTGTCAAAATTTACAGACTTTCAGGTATGTGCAATGAACAAATCAAATGAAAGCAATTGAAATAGCTCAGTGCAACAAATGCTTCAAATGGTTTACCCAAATTCAACTGAAAATGCAACTTTTAATGAATTCTACAGTCTCAGAATTATTCAGTCCCCCTGAAGAGAATCCCTCACAACATCACAAATATGCAAAACAGATGTTATCCCAAGTATAACTGATACAACAAATCAAGGGCTTCAATAGTTGCACTAGGTGTGCTTGAGCTGGAATACATGAAATACCTGAACTGGCTAGGGTTTTGGTGAGTGTCACATTTGACTGCATGTTAGAAATATGGTTAAGTCAAAATAATGGTCCAAAAAGAGATCATTGCCCTTCACAAGCAAGGAACAGGATACAAAAAGATAGCAATTGCATTGAACGTTCCTAGAGATACCATTGGAAGCATAGTTCATAAGTTCAAAGTTAAAGGAACAGTGGTTACACTAGCTGGACGGGGCAGTAAACGGAAGCTATCAATGACTGCAACCAGATTTCTGAGAAGACAGGTTAAGAAAAATCCTTGAGTTGATGGCAAAATCCCTGCAGCAGCAAGACCTGGTGACAACAGGCACTGAGGTTTCAGTTTGTACAGTCAGTAAGGATGTACTAATTGCAGGTTTCCATGGCAGAACTCCAAGACATACACCACTACAAAAGCACAAGAAAAGTTGGCTCCAGTATGCTCAAAATCATATTTTAAAGCCACAGAACTTTTGGGATTCTGTTCTGTGGAGTGGTGAAACAAAACAAACTCTTCAGCCCAATGGATCAGCGGTATGTCTGGAGGAAGAAGAATAAAGCATATACTGTATTGAAAAGAACAATCTGCCTACAGTTAAGCGTGATGGTGGCTTGGTGGTGCTCTGGGGCTGCTTTGCATCCTTTGGCAATGGAATCCTGCAGCATATGGAAGGCAAGGATTCATTGAAGAATCAGGAAATCCTAGAAGAAAAATGTCATGCCGTCTGTGAGGAAGTTGAAACTTGGACATCATTGGACCTTCCAACAGGACAATGACCCCTAGCTTACCTCAGATTGTGCCAAGGCTTGGTTGCAGAAGTAGTCCTGGGAAATTCTACAGTGGCCCTCTGTCACCTCACTTGAACCTCATAGAAAATCTCTGGTGGGATCTGAAGAAGGACATTGCAGCACGCAAACATAAGAATATTACCGAACTGGAGGCCATTGGTCATGAAGAATGGGTTAAGATTCCTCAGGAAAGCTGCCAGAAGCTGGTGTCTGGCTGTGCATCTCATTTGCAGCAGGTCATAACAACAGTAGGGTGCTCTACTAAGTGCTGAAGATGTTTGCCATGAAGGGGGTTGAATAATTCTGAGATTGCAGAATTCATTAAAAGTTGCATTTTCAGTTTAATTTGGGGAAGCCATGAAGCATTCATTGTGTTGTTATTTCAGTTGCTTTCGTTTGACTTGTTCATTGCAAACAGCTGAAAGTCTGTAAATTTTAACAATAAACCTGATTTGTAATGGGAGTTGAATAATTTTGATTACAATTGTATGTCCTGTCAGTTTAATTTTGACTTATGGTGAGCCTTTCCAGGGTTTTCTAGGTAGGTAGTACAGTGGGGTCGTGACTTGAGAACTTAATCCGTATTGGAAGGCGGTTCTCAAGTCAAAAAGTCTGTAAGTCAAGTCTCCATTGAGCTACAGTGCATTGAAAACCGATTAATCCCGTAGCAGGCCGTTTTTGTTCCATTTTGGTTTTTTTCTGGTCTGTAAGTCAAATCTCAGTCTGCAAGTCAAACCTAAATTTTGCGGCCAGAGAAGTCTGTAACTCAAAAAGTCTGTAAGTCAAGCCGTCTGTAAGTCAAGGGTCCACTGTAGTTGGAAGTAATTTCCCAGTCCCTTTTGCTGGGGATAGCGTAGCTTGCCCAGGGCTGCACGTGGTGGGGTACTGAACTTGCTATTTAGTACTTGCCCTAGAATGTTGATCACTTTTGGCTATCAAGTTGTCCTTTGAATTCTGGCTTAATGTGAATGAGCATTCAATTCAATAGCTTAATTCCAAACAGGCACCAAGCAGCTTAGTGACTGTGTAGCACACACCAGTACCCCAGGACAGTTGCTTGTCCTCAATAAGTCAGAATTCTAAAAAGATTAAAAAGAAATCTGCTTAATTTTGATGTCTGAGCACAGCCAAAATGTTTTCCTTAAAGCTATTGCAGATCCACAAACAATGTATAATAACTACAATTCTGTTTTGCTTTTAAGATGCACTTGCTGTTGTCATAGAGGTGGCCAACCATGCTAATGACATTATGAAACAGGGCGTAAGTAGTATTTTAATTGTGGGATATATATTGTTTAAAAAAAATTAAACATTCACCTGTTTTATATTAATATAATTTTAGCAATGTCATTGTATCAGGCAAGTGAATGTTATATACAGCAATATATTGAGAAGTCTGTGTGCCTATTCTGTATTCTCCTGAATACAAACAGTGTATCAGTAGGCACAAAGTGTTTTATATACTCTCATACAATTAATTTGGCCCTGCTGTGCAGATTCTATTTTGAGTTATCATACATTTAATTCTTATTTTCTCAGAAAGTTCAGATACGCAAACAGATATAGTATTAGGCTGCAAACTGCCAACCCACAGTTCTGTCCTATGGAATTACCTCTCAGGAGAATATACTTGATCCCTTCAGTTTTAGACTATCAAAAAGGCTTTAAAAACTAGTATCTGTTAATTGAAGTACTTTTAGTGGAAATGGTGTGAAAAATTATGTAGAATTAAGGCTGCAGCTTGAAGCCCTGTGAACTCCCAACTCCTCTAATTCGATCTTGGAATATTTGTAGACCACAAGCTGAATATACGCCAACAGTGCAATGTGACTGCAAAAAAGGCAAATGCTATTTTAGATTACATTAATAGAAGTATAGTCTCCAAATCCCATGAAATCCCTTCTTATTTAGCATTGGCTGTGCCTTATGTTGAGTACTGTGTCCAACTTTGGACACTGCATTTTAAAAAAGGATATAGACAAAGTGGAAAAAGTTCAGAGGAGGGCAACAAGGATGATCAGGGACTGGAAGCCAAGCTGCATGAGGAATGACTGAAAGAATTGGGCATGTTTATCCTTGAGAATAGAAGACTGAGGGGAGACATGATAACACTCTTCAAATACTTGAAAGATTGCCATACAGAGGAGGGACAGGATTTATTCTCAATCCTCCCAGAGTGTAGGACACTTTATAATGGGGTCAAGTTACATGAAGCCAGATTTCATTCTAATACAGGAAAACCTTCCTGTTAGAGAAGTACTACAATGGAACTCGTGAGGAAGTGAGCTATCCAGTGCTGGAGGGATTCAAAAGAAAATTAGACAACCATCTGTTAAATATACTTTGATTTTGATTCCTGCAATGAACAGGGGTTATAAGAACATAAGCCCTGCTGTATAAGGCCAAGGGCCCATATAGTCCAGCTTCCTGTATCTTACAATGGCCCCATGTGAAACCCCAAGACAGAGCCAGGAAGCATTTGTGGGAGTGCCGTCGCTCCCATCTCCCTCTAAGGAAACTCAGACCTCTCCTCTGCCTTCTCCCCCTAGGAAGGAAAGTAAGGAGGTGGACACTAAAGAACTGCAGGAGCACAGAGACAGAGAGGGACAGAAACATCAAGGGGTGGATACCCGGGACTTGGGCTCAGGAATAAAGGGGTTAAACGTGGCGGTACAAAACGGTGAAGATTTGGCGGGAAAAGGGGAAAGGTCGATAGAGGCGGGGGCAGGAGATATAAGGGAGAAGCGGGAGGACATCCCCGGCGGTTGGAAAAAGATTTGGGTCCAGGATCCCTGGACAGGGAAATGGGAACAAGTTAAGGTTCCTCATGAGGAGGCTGAACAGCAAAGGTGCCGGGGTCAACAACCGCATCTGTCCTATTGGGGAGAGATGGAGGCGAAGGACTGGAGGCGCCGTCTTCGTGAAGAACGTGAGGCGGTGGTGAGAGAGATCGAGGCCAAGAAGACATGGCATCTTACAGAGCTCCAGAAGATGGGAGTCTTCCCGGAGCGTGGCTGGCCAGTCCGAGAGGGAGTTCACCACTCTGGGGTTGGAGCGGAGATGAAGAGACCTTACTGCTATTAGTGGGTGAAGGGGAAGGAGGTGACCCCCCCGGTGGTAGAGAAAGTGTTATCTGGACCGTGGGAGTTTGATGAACTAAACCCATTTGTTAATGATGTTTGGACACCCTTGCAGTCAAGGTTTCGACAGTGAGAGACATTAGACTCTGTTCACAAAGAAGTTACAGTTAATGTTGGAACGTTAATAAATGAAGAACATGTTGTTGAAGTTAAACCGTCTCGTACTTTATTGGGTGTGACAGAAGCCCCTAGTAACGAACCTCACACCCTACCAGATGCCTCTGGGAGCACACGAGACAACTAGAGACCTGTCTCCTGATACCCCTCCCCTGCATCTAGCATTTTGAGGTACCTTTGTAACCGACCTGGAGATGATGCATCCCCATCATGGCTTGTAACCTGCGATGGACTTTTCCTCCAGGAATCTGTCCAATCCCCGTTTAAAGGCATCTAGATCAGATGCCATCACCACATCCTGTGGCAAGGCGTTCCACAGACTAACAACATGCTGGGTCAATAAATATTTTCTTTTGTCCTCTCTCCCCCAACACTCAATTTGAATGGAACTCCCCTGGTTCTGGTATTGTGTGAGAGGGAAAAGAGCTTCCCTCTATCCACTTTATCCATCCCCTGCATAATTTTATACGTCTCAATCCTGTCCCCCCTCAGGCGCCTTTTCTCTAGACTAAAGAGCCCCAGATGCTGTAGCCTTTCCTTATAAGGGAGGTGCTCCAGCCCAGTCATCATTTTAGTTGCTCTCTTCTGCACCTTTTCCAGCTCCACTATGTCTTTTTTGAGTGTGGCAACCAGAACTGTACACAATACTCCAGGTGAGGCCTTACCGGCGTTTTGTATAATGGCATTTTAATATTGGCTGTTTGACTGTTTTATTTTCAATCCCATTTTTAATGGTTGGACTTGATGGCTTTATAGGTCCATTGTTCTGTGTGCCTGTTATTATATGATAAAACTCCTGTGCTAGATGTCAGGAAAACATGCTTTACATTCATATTCTCAGAATAAGGAAAAATGGTTGAAACATTTGTGAGTTGAGCTGAGTTAAACTAAGAGTTTATAGTGTTTAAATAGGATTGTGTCAGTCAATCAACCAGGATTTTATCTGCGGCATATTTCTCATAGCAGCTTGTTTACAATTATTTCAAACTTTCATCCTCTAGGATAACTTTCAGAAGCTTATGCAAATACAATACAGTTTAAATGGCCATTGTGAGATTGTGCAGCCAGGAAGGGTAAGTTCATTAATGACAATAAATATCAGATTATAAAAGAAAAAACATTCTGAAGACGACTTTTTGTGACATCTCCAAGGGGCATTAAAAGTTTGTTCTTTGAATTGTAACTCCCTGAGTCTCGTAATTACTGTGGAATTCTTGGATCTGTAATCTAAAACAGTAACTATTGCATACTCTGAATTACAGGTTAAGATCTGAGTTCTTGTCTCCATCACCCATGTCTAACCATGACAGTGATGCTGGTCCTTTCAATGGCAAGAATGCTGTCATAGTGTGAGAGATGACAAAGCAACCACCACCAGAATTAGTATTCTACCATTTGGTGGAAGCTTGATTAGGCATGAGATTGACAAGTTCTAGAAATGTGGAGGCCAATTCAATTGACTTAGACCAGCCGTTCTTAGCCTTTTTTTCACCATGGCCATAAGCACAATGTATGAAAAAATATAAGCCAAATCAAAATTGTGTAAGTCTCATAACCAATCTTATAAGATGGTATGTGAAGTGTTGTTTCCAGTCTGTGGCCCCCTTCAAAGTTGCTAGGGTCCCCATTGAGGATGGCTGAGTGACTTGTGCAACTACAAGCTAGAGATCTATATCCAGAGATCAACCTACTGTAGGTTTGCCTTGTCTGCCTTCTCTTGTCAGTGTTGGTTTTGCTAAAATCTGAGGCATTTGTTCCTTTCTTTCCTCCTTGTGCCAGAAGTAGGTCTCCTCCTCTGCTGCTTGCGTTAACAATAGCAGCCTTGTCATGCAGAATTATTTTCCTACTAATAATAACTGTCCCACTCCTAACAATTTTTATCTATCTCCTTCCTTGCTTCCAATGACCTGATATTTTGATTGGCTCTTCATTAGGATATAACATCTTTAAATAACTCCCCCTTCTGTGCTAGAGTTCTTGCTTGCAGCAGCTGACTTCTGCATTTATTTATCTGCTTGAATATCCAGGTCTTTTTGAAAGAAGGAACACTGATGAAACTGTCCAGAAAAGTTATGCAGCCACGAATGTTTTTTTTGGTAAGGTGCTATAAGCATTTTTTTATATGTCTAATACTACCATGATTTTGCAATAATTTTGTAGCCAGTCACTCTATAAATATACATGACTAATATCTTCAGTAGCCAACATGGGGGTTCCAAAGATGTTCATAAGGGAGAAAACAGACCTAGGTTGCCATGTGAGAGCCATATTGCATTGCTGTGAGCCCCACTGTGGGCAAGAGGAGAGGCAGACTGTACCTTCCATATACTGTATTTTTCCGTGTATAAGTCTATACTTTTGTCTAAAATCTTTAGACTAAAAATTGAGGGTCATCTTATACACGGAAGCAAGCTGAGGAAAGAACAAAAATAAGTGGAGGGGAAAGCAGGGATCAAAGTGATCCTGCAGGGATTTGATCCTTGCTTTCCCCTCCACTTGCTAAGCCCCACTTAGATTTCTTAATTTTGGGTTAGAAAAGTGGGGGGCGTCTTATACACGGGAGCATCTTATACACGGAAAAATACAGTGCTTTTCTGAGCGGAGTGTATGCGTGTCTGTACATGGCTTACACATTTCGTGTGTGTTAAATATAGTATAATTTCAATTACAATTTGACTATATTTGTATTGCAGTTTAATGATGCTCTGTTATATACAACTCCTATGCAATCTGGAGTGTATAAACTCAACAACATGCTGTCACTGGCGGGAATGAAAGTGAGTGAAGACATTTTTGCTATATTATATCTTGTAACATGTAGCTTGAATTCTTGCAACATTATTCCCTCCAACAAACATCTCTAGAATATGCTGAGGCAAACAATATCAGCTTTTGTAGTCTTCTGTGACCTTTACTGTAGAATTCAGTCTTCAGTTCACTGATTAGCGAGTCCACATTTTATCTACTGGACCTTCTTGTGCTGTGCTTTTCAGAAGAAACTGAAAATAATTATTTCCAGTTTCTTTCATTTATTTATTTATTTACATTAGTAGAATCCTCTTTGTTTTCCTACATAGTTTCATGTGCAGTGACACACACAGTAATTTTTTCTCCAGCGTTTGTGTAATAGGATAGTCATTATCACTTTGTGCTCAAGTTTACATTGCTTTTAATTGGATGATCAGTGACTTGTGCAACTACAAGCTAGAGATCCAGAGGGCATCGTGCTTTGTGTTTTTTAAATACGATTCTGCACAATGTGTTATCCTTTTATCCACTGTTTCTTCAAAGGCACTTGGGGCATATCCACAGTTTCTGCTTTCATGCTCCCAGCAACCTTGTGAGTAGATTCTGTGGCTAAATGAAGATTTTGACTTGGGTCTCCCTGGTCTCAATCAAATAATCTAGTTAGGCGATGACCCTGCTGTACAATGAAACCGCATGACGATGACTTTTTGCGACCGTTATAGTGATTCGCAAAACAGTCATTTCTGTGGGGGAATTCCGCTGGACCTCGATTAGGTCCATGCTTCGCAGACCGTTTATTCGCAAGACAATTTTTTCCGATGATCGTTGGCTTCCTAAAATGGCTGCTCTGTGTTTTCCGGACCCATGCTTCGCAGGGCAGCCATTTTAACAGCTGATCAGCGCTCGCAAAATGGCTTCCCTATGGGCGATCTTCGCTGGACGACCAGGTATTTTCCCCATTGGAACACATTAAACGGGTTTCGATGCATTCCAATGGGGAAAGGCTTTTCGCATGACGACGATTTCGCTTAACAGCGATTTTCCCGGAACGGATTATCGTCGTCATACGGGGCACCACTGTATATAGAAAGAAAAAAACACACAGGTAGATTCATGTCTTAACGATCTTGCTAAGGGGAAAAAGGAGAGAAAGGTAATGGGATGAATATAGTCAAGTGCCATTACATATTCTTAAGCTTAACTTGGGAAAATTAGTTTATCTGGACTACAAATAGCTTGGAGGGTTTGAGACCTCTAGCCCAAAAAGTAATTTTTCCAAGCTCTGCCTTATTTTCCCATGAGAGATGGAGTTTAAAGACCCACTTCTTTAGGCAGGCTTTTAGTAACTGTGGCTGATTTCCTGGATGCTGTTATTTTTTGTTTTGTTTTTGCTTTTCTAAATTTGCTTCTAAAGTTTTAAATGTTTTTAATTATCTATGGGCTTTTTAATTATTGTAGTTTAATTGGCTTTTAAATCAGCAATTTATTGTGCTTTTAGTATTACTTATTTTAACATTGTGAGCCACCTTGTAGGGGGCCTACAAATCATACAAAATAAATAAATATACTGTATATAGTCCTCATATTTTAATTGATTTGGTATGTGACTCTTTCTGATTAAAAGGTTTTCTTTGTCTCTTTCAGCATTTTACTACATTTCCATAGTCTTTTGCCTTTTCAGCTTCTGAAAATTATTTGCTTGTATGTTATGCCTGGTTTTTTTTAAAATTTGTTTTGGAAGATGAATTGACATCATCCCAATTTCCTTTTCTGAGTAATTCAAAGACAACTGGATTAGCCATTCTTGGACACGGTGGCCTTTTAGACCCCTTTCAACTCCCTTGTTCTATGATTCTATTTCTTCTTCAGGTTAGAAAACCCATCCATGAAGCTTACCAGAATGAACTGAACATTGAAAGTGTAGAGCGGTCCTTCATTCTGTCAGCAAAGTAAGTCCCAGGCACTAGATTATATAAACTAAGTAACAAATTATTGCTCTCACCAGCACCATCATGTTTAACACTTAGTTAAATGTTATGATAATGAGCATTTTGCCTAACCATAGGTATTTTTTTTACCAACAGCTCTGCCACTGAAAGAGATGAATGGTTAGAAGCCATCTCCAGATCAATTGAAGACTATACAAAGAAAAGGATCACTTTTAACCCTAGTAAAAGTCTAGAAGAGGTAAGTTCCCTTTTTCTTTAGTGAATCCATATATTTTTGTTCTAGGAGTTATACCACATCCTTTGCCCCATCTGTTTTACTGCACATGTGATTATTTCTCAGGAGCATGTGTCACTCTGGTCCAGGGGCTGCAGCTCAGTGGTAGTGCGTAGTGCTCATGCACTTTGTTCAGAAAATCCCAGGTTCAGTTTCCAGCATCTCAGGAAAGAATTCTGCTTGAAACCTAGGCTGAGGTTGACACTCATGGGTTTGATGGACCAATGGTTGGGCTTAGTATAGGGTAGCTTTTTGTATTTCTGACTTACTGGCTCTCCACAATAATTATGTTTCATTAAGTTGATTCCAGCTTATGGTGTCCCTTTCCAGGATATTTTAGGTATCACGCACACATAAGTTGTTTATCAATCCCTCCTTCTCTGGGAATGTGCAGCTTCCTTAGGCTGGCTTTTCTTCTGGGAGGCACTGTGTATCATGTGCTCAAACTCATTGAGCTATACCGCCAGCTTGTATACATTAGGCATCATTTAGTAGTTACACATACCAAAAGCATAACTTTCTGTTTCAAGAATGAAAACTTATATTGATAATACTATAGCTGTCATGATACAGGAGAGTAGATCTTTGGATGAATATTTTAAGAAACTTTTCAATAGTTGCAGTTTTAGACCATGAATTTAATCACCTAAGGAATTTCTTCTCTGGAGGCCTTTAAGATGAGGCTGGTCAGCCATCTTGCAGGGGAGGGGTACTAGAAATCTCTAGTACTAGATTTCCTGCACCGAACAGGAAATCTAACTGTCCTGCAAAGCACTATCCAGCTCTAGAAAGTATACTAGATAGAATGAGATAGCCTGAAGTTCTCACCAGCTTTCAAAAGTACATTAAAGGAATTTAAACAAATGCTCCTAAAATGTATTGTTCTTCACCAAATTTAATCTTCCATTTTCCTGAACCCAACCCCCTATACATTTCCCTCTTTATTTATTCATCAAATCTATATCCCATCTTTCCTCCAAAGAGCTCAAGGTGGCATATGTGTTTCTCCTTTACATTGTTATCCTCACATCAACTCTGTGAGGTAGTGATATCTGAGTGATAGTGACTGGTCAAAGTTCATCCAGTGATCTTCATGGACAAGTAGGGGTTTAAACCTGGCCTCCCTGGTTCAGAAACATGCCTGCTGAAAATATTTTTGCTGATGTTATTGATAAATGAACTGTTATAGTAAACACAGTCCTGTTCAAAATCATTTAAGAATCTATAAACATGTGGTTTTTATTTTATTTTATTTTATTTTTCCATTTCGTATTCTTTTCTCACTTCCTTAGGGAGATCTAGAGAAAGAGGAAGAAGCTAGTCCAATAGGATCAAAAGCTCCAATCTGGATTCCTGATACAAGAGCAACCATGTGTATGATCTGTACTAGTGAGTTCACACTGACATGGAGAAGGCACCACTGCAGAGCATGTGGAAAGGTTAGAAAATAATTCATACCTATATTGCATTTCAGTCAGAATATTAATTGGTTGGATATGGATTTCTTACAATCTATTAACAAAGTACTGCAACCTTTGAGAACATTGTACTACAATAATACTCACTGGTGTTCACACCGTGCCAAATATTCTCAGATCCTCCAATAAGCATATTTTGTTTATAGTACTTGTCATTGTAAGGAGAAAAAAGACAATAGAGATTATACCCTGTGACAAAAGGTTTCTGAGTAGCCACGTCTCATTTTATTTATGTTTATGAATGCAATAAACACTGAAGATTTGCAACAACTAATAAAAACTCATATATTCCAATGTTGAAACAATAATGGTTAGATATGACACATTGTGTCACATTGAGCTTTTAGGAATTAATGTTATTATTTAATTAATAACCTCAGTGCAACATTGTTTAGTGCAACAGGAATGAGCCCAGGCAAACCTTAAGGTTTTGTTCTCTCCCCAACCCCTCCCCAGTTTGGCAAAAAAGGCAGACTGTTTCCCTTCAACAGTTAAACCTACAGCATCCAGTGCAGTTTTTAAACTTATCATGTTTTATTACATTTAAAAAGAACACAGTAGGTGCATTTGAATCTAATGACAATCATTTCTACTTCCATTTAAGGTTATCCATAGTTTAATGTATTGTCCAAACTCTAAACTATAATTGATCATAGCTAGAATTAGTAAAAGGGACGTGGTGGCGCTGTGGGTTAAACTGCTGAAGCCTTTGTGCTGCAAGGTCAGAAGACCTGCAGTCGTAAGATTGAATCCACGTGAGTGAGCCCGTCACTTGTCCCAGCTCCCGCCAACCTAGTGGTTCAAAAGCATCCAAAATGCAAGTAGATGAATAGGTATCACTTCAGTGGGAAGGTAAACGGCGTTCCGTGTCTAGTCACGCTGGCCATGGAGGATTCTCTGCGGACAAAGGCTAGCTCTATGGGTAGGAAACAGAGATGAGCTCCGCCACCTAGAGTCAGACACGACTGGACAAATTGTCAAGGGGAACCTTTAGAATTAAAAAAAATCAGAAAGCTTCAAAAATTATACCTTGAACTTTCTTAGTTTCCAGTAATGATTGTTAAGATTAATAACATTCTTTGGATTTTGACAATACAAACTGTTATTAATACAAAACAGATGTGAAAACTTTCAGGCTCCTCTTTACAGCCATGCTGGAGTGGGAAGTGAGTGAACCTAGGAGGAGGTTGGGCCCATTTTATGACATAGCCTTATTCCATTGAACCAATCCACTGAGATTTCCAATCCTGGCTTGTTTCAGTAAATTATCATTTTGAGTAACAAGAGTTTCCAGTTCAGACATAATGAAAAATTCAGGTTAGTTTAAACTAGAAAGTTAACACCTCAGATCTTATTCTCACAGTCTTAGAGACGAAAAGAATGTGCAAGCTCAAGACTTGGTCTGCTAGCATTAAACTGTGCTAGCTAGAAAACCCACGGGCTGTATTTGTTGATAAGAGTTGAAATATTAGCAAAAGCCTCATGGTTTGGTTTCACACCTCCAGCATCTCAAACTAATTTTCTAGATCTTCAGACATCTAAACACCCAGTCAAGAAATAATATTTTAGTTTTAACTTAATATTGGAGCTAAGGAAGGAACTTGGAGGTAAAGTAGAAGGAAATGAACAAGGAAGTGATTAACAGGGAGATTTTTAATTTGCTGATAAAAAATCTCTTATCCAGCATATATAACTCTTTAGATAACCTGGTATACTCAGTAGCTAAATTATTATGTGAGATGACAGATGGTAAATTTTAAAAATACAGTGGGGTCTCGACTTACGAACAGTTCTATATATGAACTTTTCGACTTATGAGCCACTCTCACAGGAATATATGGACTCGACTTGCGAACTTAGATTCGAGTTACGAACTCTCTTCTTTCCTTTTTTAAAAGGAAAGAAAAGAGTTAGGTTAAAAGGAAAAAATATCCCCCTCTAGTGACAGAAGGCGGAATAGCAGCTTCCCATTAGTTTCTATGGACGGAAAAGAGCAGATACGGATTAAATGGTTTTCAATGCATTCCTATGGGAAATGCAGATTCGACTTATGAACTTTTCGACCTGAGAACCGCCTTCCAATACGGATTAAGTTCATAAGTCGAGACCCCACTGTACAAAAATGCTAAAGGGAAGTAATTGGTTTCCCTGCCCCACAAAGTATGGCCTTCAGAGTGTGACAGGTATTGATAATACTGTATCAGTGTGTTGGAAGCTTCAAGATTACGGTTTTGCCAGTTGGGTATCTGCAGCTATTACTTTAATCCTCTGGCAAATTCTTCTAGTTTCCCCAACTTTTAATGAGCCCAGCATGACTAGAAATTTCAGAGTTTTAATTCTATATATTACATCTATTTGCTATAGTTTTGGTAGTTTAGGTAATCTAAATCTAAGATTCTTAAAATTATGTTGAAATTTGCTGAGGATTTTAAAATGCAAACTTTAACGAGATGTTTGGGTACCCATATGTCTATGAACATAACATGTTTCTTTTTTCCAGATTATCTGCCAGGCTTGTTCATCAAACAAACATAAGTTAGACTATATGAAAAATAATCCTGCAAGAGTATGTGATCTTTGTTTTAAAGAACTACAAAAACAGGGTAAGGGGAACCTCTGCCAAACCCTGTCCTTAGTTTTTGCCCCTCTTATTTGGGCTCAGTTTCTTTTCAGGAGCTATAATCCACCAGACCAGCTTTCCTTTATTCCCTTGTGGTTTGTGGCTCAGTTCTTTTAAGGATTAAATAGAGCAGAATTAAATTCACAGAGGAAAATGAACTGTGTAACATACTTTAGTTTCTAACTTTGTGGTTCTCCAAGAGGTGAAAATATACCTGTCAGAAGAAATATCTTTCTTTTTTCTGCCACGTTTAATACAGTGGTGCCTCGCTTGACGATGTTAATTCATTCCAGCGAAATCACTGTAGAGCGAAAACATCGTACAGTAAAGCAAAATAAAAAGCCCATTGAAATGCATTGAAAACTGTTCAATGCGTTCCAATGGGCTGAATAACTCACAGTCCAGCAAAGATCCTCCATAGGGGCAGCCATTTTCGGTGCCTGTAAAGCGAGGAATCCATCCAAGAACACAGTGGGGAGTCATTTTGAGCAGCCAGCGGCCATTTTGAAAACCCGACGATCAGCTGTTTCGATCATCGTAATGCGAAGAATTGGTTCCCGAAGCAGGGAACCAATCATCGCTAAGCGAAAAAACCATCTAAACATTGTTTCGCAATCGTCATGAAGCGGATTCGTCGTTATACAGGGTAATCATTAATCGGGGCACGACTGTATGTGTTGCATTGCCATATCCATATATCTGAATCATACTGTACAATCATTCTTATTAATATGAAAGGCAACATTCATAAAAACTTATATCCATCTAAATACAGCTTTGCAAGTAAAATTGTTTTGATTATTGCCCACATATCTTTCTAACTACACCTATGAATAAGACACTGAGGGGGGAAAAGAGAATGGATTCCAGAGTTCTGATCACTATAGTGCAGTTCTTCCCACATGTACAAATCACAGAGTAGAAACAGCAAAATTATAGTCAGAGGTGGGTGAACAGTCTGTACTTCTGAAACTTACAGTTAACAAACCAGTGGAGTTTTCTATTTGCTTGAAGCACAAAAGTGTAACAATTGTGTCCATTTCAGATAATTTGTGTACTTCTCCTAAGAACGGGTCTCCTGTAAGCCACAGATCTCCATCTAATGCCTTGTCCACAGTGTTGCATAGTATCCCATCAGGACGAAAGCAGAAAAAGATCCCAGCTGCTCTCAAAGAAGTATGTGTTCATGTATTCTCAAAATTTAATTTTAATGTTATTGCTAATCTTATTCCAAACAAATAATATACTATAGAACAGAATATAAATGTGCAACATCCACTTTGGCAAGCACTGTATTCACATGATATACAAAATCTGTATCTTAAGTACTCAATAAAAAGGGGGGAATGGCTGTGTTATCAGAAAAGTACAGCAAACTCTAGCAGATGCAAAAAATAGCCACTTTATTGGTAATATGGAGGGCCTGATTGAAATGAAGCAATGAGGTATAAAATCTTATCTGCCTGGTAATTTTTGAGGCCAAGCATTACTCATGAAATATCCCAGAGATAATAATTCCTTAGATGGGTGTATTTTCCATTTAGATTGAAAGGTATCTATCAATGTCAATGGTCTGAGCCCTACTGGCAGAAAGATTAGTTTATATTTTAGCACAAATTCAGTAGGAATTAGACTTCTCTCTAGGTGCAAAGCCACATGAGAGATAAAGTATGGAATTAAAAATATGGCTCTCAAAAACTTAAGTTTTGGTTTCTAAAAGGTTCAAGTTAAGCACATAGGTGGAATACATAGATCATTTGCACAATGAGCTTAGCTATAAATACTTGGATAGCATAAGGAGTATATTGCCTACCCTTTGTACAGGAAAAATTATCAGTGCTGCAGCAGTTCTGAGTGTGATTTAGCTAAGGGCAGAGTTAGTTTTCTTTTCTTGTAGGAAAAGCCAAAAATTGCCCACAGTCCTCAAGAATTAAACATTTTTAGTGCTCTATAATTATTTGTATAATACTTCCCATTCTAATTTTCCAAGGATATTGGCAATGAATAATAAAAGAACAATATTGCAACGTATAAGGATTATGAGACAAAGCATTACAATAATTCAATCAGTAAAGTTGGGGAAAGTCAAGGTAAATAAGTCAGAGTAACACCATTGCTGGTTCTTAATGTACTAGTTGTGAGAAACCATTCAAGATGTTAGGTGTCATCACAAATACCCAAAGCTGGCCCAACCTTTATGCTGAGTGAGGTGACCTCAGAAAATGGGGCACCAAGAACTGCAAATTGCTACCTTCACCCTCAAGGATTCCAACACTGCTGCATCGGGGGCCCTGTGCTCTTACTCATGTTCTCTTCCTTTGCCTATTCTATTTTGATACTGTATTTAGAGAAGCTTCATTGAGCCTCATTTAAAATTATTCCCTTGGTGCTCTGCTGCATTTTAAACCCTTTTTACTTTTGTCAGGACACAACAGACATTTAAACAATGTGGTGACTAGCTATTAAAACCTGTGAGGGGAAGGTCTTAATAAACTAATGACAGGTTTTAGCTACCAGTGGGAATCCTTATTTGAGATTTGAGCTAGCAGTACTTACCATTTCTGTTAGGATGTTTTAATTTTTTCACATATGTTTTTTATATAGGAGAACATAATGCTGCCTAGTTCATTTTAGTTGTAAATTTGGATATTGGTCCTGACTGTATTAAAGACTTGGTTTGACTTTCAGTTGGCAAATGTAAACAAGACATGGAAAATTAAATTACTGTTCTGAGAATGACTTTAAAAAACCAGGGTAACACCCATGATACACTTTATTGGTTTCAATTTTAGGTATCAGCAAGTATAGAAGATTCTTCTATGAGTGGTTATTTATACAGATCCAAGGGCAACAAAAAGCCATGGAAACATCTGTGGTTTGTAATAAAAAATAAGGTGCTGTACACATATGCTGCAAGTGAGGTAAGAAGTCAAAACTCAAAAGTGAACCTACCATAGAACACTTTATGAATGAGAGGATTGAATGATGCTGCAAGGCCCTCAAAGGCTTGGATTCAAATTGTTCACACTATGCATGATTACTTAAATCACTGCTAAGTCACCCCAAAATAGATATTATGAACAGTGGCTACATTCAGTTTGCTAAAGTTCTTCCTCTATCTTTAAGAAAGGTTACTATAGCTGCTCTTATGGGTGGAAGGGCCAAGCAGGAAACTACAAGCACGTAGTGTACATGCTGCTTGTGAATAATTGACAGGGTTTGGATAAACCTGAAATTGTTAAATGCAATTTAGTACCAAGATGTAAGTATTTACAAGGACCAGCACTGCAAAGGAAACCCAAGCATGAGTAAAAACAGCTGTGTTAGAATGTACCAGAAGGATGAATATGATTGGCTAACTCTGGTATATAGCTGGAGACCTAGAATACAACAGTGTGGGTTGCTATTGTCGTGAAGTGCTGTAGCCGTGGAGCCAAGCCATACAAGCATGTAGTGTACATGCTGCTTGTGAATAATACACCAAGATTGTCTGGAATTCTGGTGTATTTTCTATGAATAGTACCAAGATGTAAGTATTTACAAGGACCAGCACTGCAAAGGAAACCCAAGCATGAGTAAAAACAGCTGTGTTAGAATGTACCAGAAGGATGAATATGATTGGCTAACTCTGGTATATAGCTGGAGACCTAGAATACAACAGTGTGGGTTGCTATTGTCGTGAAGTGCTGTAGCCGTGGAGCCAAGCCTGAGAGTTCAGAGGAAGCCATACCTATGTGCTTGGAGAGTGGAACTCTGGCTGAACGGACTGACTATATGGTATATGACTATTTACTGGACTGTGACACTGATTTAAGGCTCTGTGACTGTGAAACTGCTGTTTATAGAATAAGGACTGAAGCTGTATATATCTGTAAATATTCTGCATATAAACCAAGTATTTCTGCTACAAGAGTGTTTGCTGCCTGTGTCTGCACTTCACTGGGAACTCTGCCGGTTATCACCACCTGGGAAAAACCTGGTAAAATTCCACTAACTCTGTCAATAATACACCAAGATTCTCTGGAATTCTGGTGTATTTTCTATGAATACCAGAAATACCAGCGTTATCTCTGGTGGGAATTGAAGAATGGCAAAAGTATATGAAATGGGAAATAAAATGAAGTTGAATCCAGATCTTGCTCATCAAGATCTTTAAAATCTGGAAACGGACCCTTGCGTCTTGACATTGTAGTAAACATTTTCAATGCTACTGAGACCACAGATTACTTTACAAATTCCAATTATAGGAATGTTATGTTTGATTCTGGATTTCTTTGTTAAATTAGGACGTAGCTGCTTTGGAGAGCCAACCTTTATTGGGATTTACAGTTGCTGAAGTCAAAGATGAACACTTAGAACCAAAAGTTTTTCATTTGATGCACAAAAATACATTGTTTTACATATTTAAAGCAGATGACGCCCATTCAATGCAAAAGTAAGTGACCATTTATTCATTAATCAGACATGCTAGCAAAAACTGGATTTTATACAAGCAGTTTAGAGTATGTACTATAGTTGTACAAGTATGATTTGTTTTGTCTATAAAAATAAAGGACTATGTATGTCACAGGTCAGTCTGTGGTCCTCCTAATGCCGTTCGGCTGGAGTTCCTCATCAGCCTAGCTAGCAGAGTAAATGGCGAGAGACAGAGAATTGCAGCCCAGTGATATCTGAAAGGTCATGGGCTGTCTGCCCTGATAATAGGTCATGAACAGGGCTCTGCAAACTCACTCACCCAATTTCCTATCCCAAATGCCCAGCATAGAGATTCATTTGACTGAATGAAGTGCAAAGAACTGGAGAAAGGGTAGATGTTTCCTGACTTTTAAAAAAATCCAGCAGAAAGAAATAAGCACCTCCTCCACACCAGGAATTTATAAGGACTAGTACAGTATCACCAAGTAGGATGCTACCTGTGATTGTATATAGTTTGGTTCCAAGCTCATAATCATTTAAGTACAGAATTTGTATAAGCCATTTAATAATAGTTGTGGGTTTTTCAGGCTCTTTGGCTGTCTTCTGAAGGTTGTTCTTCCTAAAGTTTCGCCAGTCTCTGTGTTAGGTCCCGGCCGTGAAAGCCTTCACGAATACATTTAATAATACCCAGCAATTTGGTTTTGAATGTATTACTGTAAGATCATGACAAATAGTTGAATAACAGAAAACATTATTCAGATTATTCTATTGAAAACCATTCAATTTGATCAAAATAATGTTTTTCCTTTTTCAACAGGTGGATAGAAGCTTTTCAGGAAGCCACAATATTGTAGCTTGGTTGGTGTTGTCTTTTGTCAGAAGACAGAAGTGAATACTTTTAATTTTTTTCTTTCAGAATTTGTCAGACTTTAACCTGAACAAAGCTGGCTGATACAGGAGCTAGAAAATCTTGCTGATTATGCTCACCATAATAATGGTTAAAGAAATCTGTATATTTGTCTTTTTGTCATACAAAAGGTGTTATTTATTAAATTCCATCACTGTTTTAATTAATGGTCAGAATCATTTCTGAAATTCACATTGAATTCAAAAATGTCCTTGATCTTAGAGATCTTGTTTTTTGTCAGAGGACTGTAAGAAGCAGTTACTCTTAAGTGTATTGCAAGTTTATCATCAGTACACTTTCACAGTTGCTGTTGAATTTTTGTTTCTGGAACATTTATGGAGCAAGGCTTTTCAACAGCCTCTTGGGATTTGCGTTGTTTTTTTAAATAAGGTGATGAATTTACTGAAAAACTATGTAGTTTCTCTCAACATTAGATAATAATCGTGATACACAAATTTAAAAAGACTCATGAACCCTCAATATTTTCATATGTATACTAAATATAAATAGGCATATTTATTTCAGTAGAGGGTAGACATGCATGTTTGCTCTCTACGTATTTTTGAACATGATAGAAAATCTTTAGTAGAATCTTTCTGAAGTGAAATGAAATATATCTGCTGAAGTAGGCTGTGAATTTTCACCAATGCAGATTGCATCACAAGTTAAAAATCAGATATATAATCTGGAAACAGGGAAGTGTCTTAGCAAGGATCCATGAGTAGTTAAGAGTTTTAAAATGAAAAATGAAATTATCATCTTTTTGCCCTCTCCTAGTAACATTACAGTACATATATCAAATAATGAATGCCAAAGATTCAAAAATGAATGTGTAGTGTACTTTTCCAGTATATGATTAGATCATTCAAGTAGCAAAACTACTTTCAACCTGAGAGAATTTTCTGTTAAAAACACTTCCACTGAAACTAATATTTCTGGTTCCTGTAATATATAATACAGCAGTTAAAGCCACAAGAGTACATTTTTTAAAAAACTATCATTTAAACAAAAGCAGAATCTGTAATTGCAGTAAGAATGCACAATATTTTAGAGAAATTGTATTCATGAACAATGTTATTTTAGTTTTCCCTTCGCAACGTAATATTTTCAAGAAATTTCTTCAGCTCATTTTTTTTATATACAGGACACTCAGCTAAAATAATGAATTCAATCAAGTAACAATTTGCTTATACAAATATTTTAAAAATACTACATAGGACATTACATTATGATTCGGTCAGAATTTGTCAGTTGCAAAGCATACAAAGAGAAACATAAGGATTATCATTACCAAACCAAATGTGTCTGTAGGCCAAGAGCTCTTTTGGCTTATGTGGGCATGTTTAACATTTTCAGTCTACCGTTCCCAACCGCCCTCCTAAAAAAGAACTTCCAAAACCCTCTGAAATGTTTAAAATTAAAATAGCAAGGAGGATGCTATGCACAAGGATGTGATTAGATGGATTGTGATTGGCATAATTAATATTGCCATGGTTTAAGAGCCATGCTGGATCAAACCAAAGACCAATTTAGTGTAACACTTTTTTCATACAGTTGCCAATCAGTTGTTGTTAGGAAGCCCACCAGTGGGACATCAGTGCAACAGCATTATCCCTTTCGTGTCTCCCAGCCATGGATATGCTTAATTTAGTTGAGTGAAATGATAACTTACTGTAGTTTTAGTGGACTCTTCCTTATCACCATTGGATTAGGACAAACTTGTGAATCTTGCTTATATGTGAAGTGCCTGCAACACCTAATATGTTATGGAACATTCCATAACTACTGCACAGCTTTAGATTAACTAAATGAATGCCCCACAGACTTCAGTTTGTGCCTTTAAAAGAGCAGTGGTCTTCAGAAGGTGCCACTCTACCTAAAAGAGATTTCTATATATTTTCCCTTTCAGCTGCAATCATCTAATTTTTTCAAATGTTTTTCATGGTCAGTGGTTAAGAATGTACTGCAGTATCTATTAGTAAATGGAAACAAAAGCTTTTACTTTGCAGATTAAAACAATTGAAAATAATTGTAAAGAGCTGTTTTTATCAAATTAATTTTGCAAGCACTCCAAGAGGCTTTCAATAAAAGCACTCTTGAATACAACAAAATTTGGTGATAATATGACACAGAACCATGTATTTTGTAAAAGTAGTATATAGTACTATATAAAGTATATATAGTAGTGGTATAATATTTTTGGTCAATGAACAGATGTGGTGTTTTCTTATTTTACTGCTGTACACAAAGTTCCTCTGCCTCTACATGCTTCTTTGGCTAGTGAACAATTTCAGAAGAAAATCCATCAGCATACTGTATTATAGGTTATAGCAAAGCCTTTGTGTAGATCAAGAAAAGTGGATCATTTGGAAAGAAATGGATGTCCCAATATCTGATAGTCCTATACTTTGTACAAGAGGCTCCAATTAAGAGAGAATACAGAGAAACAGAATGGTTTTCATTTGGTAAAGGTGTCACACAAAGGTGTCTTATCTCACTATCTTAATCTCTAGAGTGTTTTATCCAGATGACAGGGTTAGATTCAGACGTAAAAACTGAAGGAATAAAAGCCAATTGATGTTAGTGCAGTAAATTGTATTAGTTAGAGATTAAGGTTTAAGAAATGTAAAAACAGGACTACAGCTTAACACTAAGACAACAAAAATAATGACTACAGAAAAAAGTAACTAATATGGACAATTTTCTATACCTTGGTTCATGCTTTAACCAAAATGGACAGTAAAACCAAGAAACCAAAAAGAGATTGAGACATTAAACAGCAACTACAAAGGAACATAGGGGATGTGGCTGCAGCCCCTATGTGTGAAAATGTGTGAAAATATTTTGAAGAGTTGTTTTGGATGATGAAATGGTGAAGCAAAGGTAAGTGTAACACATACAGTCCCTTTAAGCTCTCAGGTAAACTAATGTTGCATGCCCACGCCACAAAATGGAGACTAGAAAGCTATCATTCAGTTTCCAAATCATTTCCTTGGGATAGGCAACCTGAGGACCAAAAGTTAAATAGGAGCAGAAACTCTATGAACATATTGTGTGCATGCTTTCTAAAAGATGTGCCCTTCTCTTCTGAAGTAAAAAAGGAGTATGTCTTAGTGTCAGCAGAGATTGGCTCTTGAAACCAAGATTAAAATCTTCCACACTATGTAAAAGAAAGATGGGGAAAATCAGCTCATTTGTAATGTGGTGTTGGAGGTGAGCCTTGCAGATACCACAGACCATGAGAAAGACATGTAAGTGGTGCTCAATCAAGTCAAGCCTGAACTCTTAACTAGAGCAAAAATGAGTAAACTGCTATCTTGCTATTTACATATAATGGGAAAACAGAACTGACCAGAAAAAAGACAATATTGCTGAAGAAGGGGAGCAGTATTGTCTCAATAAAGGAAGTCACAAAGATATTAAAAAAGCGAAACAGTAAATATTTAAAAAGTATTAAACAAGTATTTTAAAAATGGTAAATAAAATACTAAAAGTCATTTAAAACATAACAGTCCATTTAAAAAATATCTCAAACCACCAGTCATTGAGGAAAAAAACAAGTATAAATGGTAAATAAAATACTAAAAGTCATTTAAAACATAACAGTCCATTAAAAAAGTGTCTCAAACCACCAGTCATTGAGGAAAAGTTTGCCTGAAGATAAAGGTCTTACCCTGCTTAAGAAAGGAAAACCAAAGATAGAGCCAGCTTAGTTTCCTGTGGGAGGGAATTCCAGAATCTGGGAGCAGCAACAGAGAAGGCCCTCTCCCATGTCCTCATCAAGCACACCTGTGAGGATGGTGGGACCAGAGAAAGGCCGCCTCTGATTATCTTAAAGCCCGGGCAGGGTCATAGCGAGAGATGCAGTCTTTTAGATAGCTTGAACCCAAGCCATTTAGGGCTTCATAGGTTAAAACCAGCACTTTGAATTGTGCCTGGAAATGGAGCAGCCAGTGGAGCTGCTATAATAGGAAGTTATATGCTCTTTGTAACCAGGCCAGTTAGCAATCTGGCTGCAGCGTTTTGGACCCTCTGGAGTTTCCAAACCTTTTCCAAAGGCAGTCCCATGTAGTGTGTGTTACGATACTAGCCAAGATATAACTAGGGCATGTCCCAACATGGGTCAAATCGGACCTTAAGAAGTTGGCGCAGCTGGCACACTAGTTTTAACTGTGCAAAGGCCCTCCTGGCTACTGCTGAAACCTGGGCATCCAGGGTTAAGGACAAATCCAGCAGTACTCCCAAGCTGTGCACCTGTGTTTTCAGATAACTGTAGAATGACAAGACAATTGTAATGGTTGAGACTATGACAGGATATAGGCACCAAAGCTTTGAGTAAGACGATGCCCAACCAAAAGCAACCCCCCAGTAATTTCACAGCTCAGAGTGAAATATTTTTAAAAGAATGGAATGTCCTCTATTCTTTTAAATATATATATTTTTAAAAATTTCAACCAAAGAATCCCTTTGCAAGCATAAATCTATTTGACCAGGAAGGAGTTAAACATTCAATCAGCTCATGATTGACAGATTCAAAGGTTCAGATTGCTGCAGACTTGGAGCTCATTTCTTATTTGAAGACTTGTGCAAGCACAGACAGCACCTTTATAAGCCACTAATAAAAAAGCGTACACTATGAAAAAATCCCACTTCTTCAAAGCAACTACCAAAAGTCTGAAAGTTTGTGGCAAGATAGGATTTGCCAGGAGGTTATTTCTAGATGTAAAGTTCTTGGCAAGATGCCAAGCACCTCTGCCTTAGATGAGGCTGGAAATTGTTTCGAAGTTCCAATTTTTTGTTTTAGACTGCTGTATGGAGCACCAAGGAAGGGAAAGTAGGTCAGGTGCTTAAAACTTCTAGGTGCTGATGTTGCCTCTAGCCAGATCCAGGTTGTGGGCCTAAATCTGGAAGTCATTTTATAGCTTTCCAGCCATCTGTCATGGGAGTCCTAGCAACAGGGCAAAGGCTGATGGAGGTGCAGTCAGTCACATCTGGAACTGCAAGTAAGTGTGAATCCCTAAGTGTGATTTATTGGACTAAAGCCACATCTAAACTATGCCTCTTCTGTCCTTCTCTACAGTAGCATCCTTCTCACCTACCGCCCACCAGATGTCTTCAACTACGAGGCCCCTTGCCCGCCAGGCCAACACACCCAGAGGGCCTCAAGTTGCAAGAGGCTGCCCTGGACCCACAGCAGCCCAGGCCTCCCATTTTCCTTAAGTTAACTAACCCGCCTTGAGGATTTATTTTTTAAAAAAAGGAACCGTCAGCAAGCACGCGGATACAAAGGTGAAACTGAACCTCCGGTTAAAGATTCGGGAGGCTGTTCCTACAAGTCCGCTTCCTTCCCCACTTCTTGCCCTCTCCTCCACACCAACGAGGACTCCGGGCCCGCTGGCTTCTTCCTTCCATTTTCCGGCCGGCGCTGTGACACTCGCTCCGCCTCCGCCATGGGCTCGCTTTGCGCAAGCGCAGCTGGGCTTCGTAGTAGCGGCGGCGGTTGTGGTGGCGGCCGCGGCGACGACTTGGGGAGGGCAGGGCAGGGGGAGGGGAAAGGAGAACGTTACGCCGCGGGAGACGCGGCCACACCGAGCACGCGGGAAGGGGGAGGCCGGGGTCACGAACTCTGACCTCCCAGATCCGGAGTCGCCACCGACCCCATTAACCCTGAGGGTTGAGCGCCGCGCTGCGCCTGTCAGGTAAGAGGCGAGGAGGGCGGGGAGAGAGGAGGGCGGGGAGAGAGAGAGAGGGAGCCCCAGTGTCTCCGGCGGTGCGGGCGCCAGGCCTTCTCGGTCAGAGAAGTGGCTCCTCTTCGTTGCCCGGTGGCAGGGGCCGGGGGGGGGGGGGGGGGCGCGGGGGG